GCAATACACTGTGCAAATCACTTGATCCACAATGTGATTGGCAAAGTTGTGAAAGAAGTACCAGAATTGCTGGATCTGGTTAATCGCTGCAGCAAGCTTGTTAAGTATTTTAAAAAATCTGGACAAAACTGGAACTTAACAAGCACCCTTAAAAGCTACTGTCCAACTCGTTGGAATACTATATTTAACCTCTTAAAGTCGGTTGAGTTAAATTGGATGGAAATTTCGCAGATTTTGGTGGAAAAAAATGAAATATCAAGAATTTCAGATATAAATTTAATCAATATTAGCGGAGTGGTGAACCTTCTTGCTCCTTTTGAAAGTTGCTCCAAAAAGCTGGAGGGTAGCAATTATCCAACATTGCACTTGACCATTCCACATATTAATAACTTAAAAAAAATATCCACACCAAATGACAATGATATAAAAATAGTTGAAAAATGCAAACTTTCGCTTTTAGATTACTTAGATTCAATAGTTTTAGAAAATTTAAAAAAATATCACAACATTGCATTGTTTTTGTTTCCACCCACTAATAAATTAACTAAATTCACAGAAATAGAAAAGGAACAAACTTTGAAGGACGTAGAAGAAATGATGGTTAATATTCATTTAAATAGCGAAAATCATGATATAGAACATTTAATTAAACCTACACAAGACTTGGATAATATATTTGCAGATTATTCAGAACCCATTCAGAGCACCAACATTTTTTCCTATATTCAGGATGAACTAAAAACGTATAAAAATATTAATAAAGCATATACTGAAGATTTTGATGTTCTGCAGTGGTGGTCAATTAATAAAGACCGTTTTCCTCTGCTTTATCAAATTAGCTGCAAGATACTAGCAGCTCCCGCGAGCAGTGCAGCATCGGAAAGGGCGTTTTCTGTTGCCAAAAATTTAATAAGCGAAAAACGGTCAAAAATTGCAACCACCGAAGACATGGTTAATAAAATTATGTTTCTTCACTCAAATATAAATAACTTAAATATAGATTCATTAATAACATAAAATAATTAGATTAATTAGTTTTAATTAAAATATTAAAAATTTCTTTATTTCTTTATTTTATAATAAATACATTTAAAACGAAAATACAAATCAATTTTTTAATCGTATTCTTTCTATGACATACATACACACGAGAACTATATATGTGTGTATGTACCAGTCATGAAATTTCACTCACTGTACAGTATGTCAACTGTACACCAAAACACTGTACAGTACGTTGACTACTGCACACCAATTTTGCTGTACTCATTAACAGCTGTACAACTATGGAATGAGTGAGAACACTGTCAATCCAAACAGACAATACTACCCTACTCACTCACACCCAAATATACTGTGCAGAAAAAAAAGTGTGCCCACTTCTAGACTAAGTGATTCATTTGTCGTTTTGGATGCATTCATGCAGAAGTCTAGTATAGAGTCGAGTTCAGCACTTGACTGTCAATGTATCCAAATGGATTTCACGGACCATTGCACACACCTCCCACCCAGAGAAGCCACCCACTGTGCCCCCAGGGTCGTTGAAACATCATTTACGTTATAATTCTTATTGAAATACACATTTGAATTAACAGCTCCCGGTCGGGTGTTGGGGTATTGAAAGGGCTGGGATGGGATGGGCCGGATTGAGGCTGGAAAGGGTGTGGCGGGCGGACAGTTTAATGAATTCATGTTCGGACACAGGCTGCACCACACATCGAAAAGGATGGCCTGGGACTCCCATCGACAACACGGCTCGGCTGCTCTTTCTTTTTGTGTTCCTGTATTTTTAATTATACACACGTCGTAGCCATTACATTCCATTCGGTATTGTTGTCGCAGCTAGATGACCTGCACTCGAAAAATGGTCTCACTGCATATTAAGTTTGGCATGTAATTCACTTGAGAATTTCTGAAGATGGCACCCACAGTCTTATAAAATAAGTATATTATATTGAGACACAGCAATCTTACCCTTTTTGTATAATCGCAGTGCTATGCCAAATACATCTTTTATCGTAAATTGACTATTTTTATATTTATGGTGAAAATTTTTTTTTTTGTTTCATATCTAGCCCCCTAAGCAAACCATTTAAATATAAGTATTAAAACCTGCACACCTATTCCACAGTGTGATTAGAATTCACAAATGGAAACAGAATTGGATTTTTGTCAAATGCCATACAAATTTAAAACTCTCTTGTTTTAATTACATTTGGGTAGAAGCAAGTTATATGCAAATTGTCGATTTGTCTTTACTTTTTGACCTTTTACATTACTTTTGTCACATATCAAAGTCTTTTAGAAATATAAGACTCTCAATAATCATAATAATAAAGATAATTTCTAAGATTAAGTCATAACTTTCATTAAAGTAGCGGTTAACGCAAATATTTTTCTTCACCTTCAACACAAATATGTGGAATAACAATTTTAATCACAATTATATATTTAAGTCTCCTTTACTTACCCCCTTAAAATATAAGAGTAGTAGGCAATAGTAAAACTGAACCTTGAGAACCCTAATGTGTATTGATTTGTAATCCACCAATTCAAAAGCTAATAGAAAATTGTACAAAATATTTCCTACGCTTTTCCCAATTTTATGTGCTTTTTCGAGCCTTTGTGGATCATAAAATGTTTTGAGTGTGACTCCACCTGCAGTCCTCACTCGCATGTGCCATGTCAGATGCCAGGCTGCGTCAGCAGGAGCAGACATTTGGCTCTTGGCTGTGGCTGCGGCTCCTGGCTGTCCTCGACTCCGGATCCTCAGAAACCAACTCCCATCAACGGCATCAACATATCACCATCATCGATGCCAGCCGGCAAACGAATATCCAGCCAAAATGTTTGGTTTAATTGGTTTTGTGTTCGGCATTGAATGGTTTATGGGCCGCATGTGTCTGTCGGTATTATTGTTGTCCTATTCCACAGCTTGTGAGGGGATGCCTTTTGGGCCTTCATGTTTTCTTGCCGCAACTCTTCCAGCCACGTGTACTAGTACGTATGTGTCGTTCTGTCAATTTCGGTAATGTAAATTCAGACATGTGCTTGTTTCATTTGCATTCGTATATAATTTATGTGCCAATCCCGCAGAATTCCCTCACATCTGCACTCTTTTTAGGGTCGGAGGTCTGATGTGATGACAGCTGCGCATCTGTTTGTAATGGATAAGTGTTTCCGTGTTGCGTAATTAGCACAAGATTAACAAACTCTCAGACAGCATACAACGACCTGATTTGGTTTGGCTTTTGCCTTGGTGTAGGGGAAGCTTTTGTTAGGGAAATTACAAAAATTTTGTCAGCTTTTTCATCAGTTTTCAAGGAAGTATTTAAACCCTTTTAATAAGAATAATTTGTTTGAAAGGCAAGGAAAGAAATTAAACTAACTTCGGCATGCCGTCAGCACTGCGCGAATATACATCTGACAGCTAAAGAATTTTTGATGGATCTGACAACCATTATATTAGGTAACAGACACCGAAATTGTACTTTAACGAGGACGGAAGCTAACTTCGGCAAGCCGAAGTTTTAATACCCTTGCAGACTTTGCCGAAGTTGCTAAAACTGAAAAAGTAGCGAAAGGAATAAGATATACATAAATAAACTAGATTTGCGTCGTTTGATGTCAATTGCTTTTATACTGCAAAAATGTCATATAAAAATGGAAAAAAAGGGATACTTTCGCAGCCTTTAACTATTTTTCCTACGGAAGCTATAAGAAATAGACGTCCGATCGGCAAGCGCTTTTACCCTAATCAAGATATGCGTAAATAAATAAGACTTGGAAAAATGTATGTCAGTAGCTTACACACTACGCGAAAAATTCAGAAAACCAACAAATTTGGACCGATTTCACCCTGTTGTTCCTATGGGAGCTGTAGGATATAGACGTCCGATCGTCACGTGCTTTTACCCTAATCAAGGTATGCATAAAAAAATACGATTTGGAAAGATTCATGTCAATTGCTTATATACTGTGCGAAATATCCTAAAAATCATTAAATTTTAACCGATTTCACCGTATTGCTCCTATGGGAGCTATAGGATATAGACGTCCGATCGCCAAGCGCTTTTACCCTGAATAAGGTATGCATAAAAAAATAAGATTTGGAAAGATTTATGTTAATAGCTTTTACACTGCGCGAAATATCTTCCATTCTTGAAAGTTATATCCGATTGTTCCTATGGGAGCTATAGGATATAGACGTCCGATCGCCACGCGCTTTTACCCTGATCAAGGTATGCATAAAAAAATACGATTTGGAAAGATTCATGTCAATAGCTTTTACACTGCGCGAAATATCATCAATTCTTGAAAGATATATCCGATTGTTCCTATGGGAGCCATAGGATATAGACGTCCGATCGGGGCGATTTTCAAACTTGATCTGCGTACACATGTTTTAGGACGAGTGTGAAAGTTTCAGATCGCTAGCTTTTAAACTGAGCTCGCAAACGGTATTGAAACAGACGGACAGACGGACAGACGGACAGACGGACATGGCTATATCAACTCAGGAGGTGATCCTGATCAAGAATATATATACTTTATAGGGTCGGAAACGTCTCCTTCACTGCGTTACAAACTTCTGACCAAAATTATAATACCCTCTGCAAGGGTATAAAAACAGCAAACAATTTTTTTTTACCAGCCAGTGTACAGAAAAAAAAACTTTATATTAGTCAAAATCGGCTAATTTCTAAAATAGTACTCCTTCATTCCTAGGCAGATGTATGATATTCCGATCAAAGCTTAATCTGCATACACATATAAAAAACGAATATATATACCTTATACGATACGCTATGTTTTTTTTACTGCGTTATAAACTTTCGACTAAATTTATAATACCCTCTATGCGGGTGTAAAAACTAAAAACTCGTTATGGTCAGGAAAGTTTAAAATACAGAACTTTAAATTATTTTAAAGAAAAATTATTTATAGAAAGCAAGAGTTTTGTTTTTGTTTCTCAGTCCCAAAATATTTTAAAAATCGTAGTCCAAGTAGGACTGGACCAAAGGGTGTCATTTTCGTTCGGGTCTCAGTCCAAATTTCACTTGAAATCACTCGGTAAACTCTAACTGAAGTCGTTATACCAAATACTTTTTCTAATATTTTTTAAGGTGCGTAAAAAGGAAATCCTCATTGTCTTTCAAAAATCTTACTAAATCTCTACGACTAGAGAATCTTTTCACGATGAAGCAGTTTGCGCTGTCTACCTGCATCCGCCGTGTTTGGATCATGTCCGGTTGGCTGCGGCAGGAGGCTGCTATAGCTGCTGGCATGTTGGTGGTGCAACGTGACCAGGTGGAGCGGAGAGAGGATGAGGAGGATCTCAAGGTCGAGCACCAGGTGGCAGCCACTGGTGACGAGGTGGGCGTCGACTCCCACGGAAGGCTCCGCCGTGTGCGCATGCTCGACGACTATATCCTGCCCTTTGAATGCGGCCTCTAATTTTTCCTGTTCTCCGATCTGGTGACCTGCTTTAGCGTGTGTCACATCCTTGAGTTAGTTAGTTCCTCTTCTTAGTATGATTTACTGTCCGCGTCTAGGGAGCTCGAAAAGTTAACGAGGTGGGCTCTTCTGCAGAAACAATCTATCCAAATTTTTGTCTACCCACTGAAACATCATCGAAGTCGGATACTCTACCTGGACGGACTACGGAAACTTAAAAAACATTTTATTCCATAATTGGTTGCTTAAATGGTTAAAAAAGATAAATTGTGGACGAATCTTGTCAAACTTTGTTTATGTAAAACATTTTCTTTTTGAAAAACTGCACTCTTACGCCAAATATTTCCGAATTACAAATTTAAGAATAAACGATATCTAAATTAACAAGCTTTAAATTTATTACAAGCCATCTTTGTTGAAGGGAAACATAAAGAGGTTTAGAAATGTCAAGAGGTCTTTAATCCGCAACAAAATATATATTTTCTTGCAGGTCCATCGCAGCAGACGCAGCGAAAACGACATCCTCGTTGGCGACCATAAGCCTTACGATGAGGAGGCTGCAAAGGCGCAACTGGAAGAGTCCCTTAACAAACTTACTACAGGGTCCACAAAGGGTCCACATTACAAGTAAGAAACCATAAAAATTGAATGTTTCCTAATGTTTGTATTTAAAATGGTATTTTAGTACTTCAAAATGTTACTTAAATTCTGAAAAACTTGTGTAAACGTGCTACATATAGAATTTATGTTTTTAAGAAATTCAAGAACATAGGGAATAATAGGGACTATGTAAGTACAATTGACTTACCAGTTCGTTCTCTTTCAGAGTAGTAAAAGTTTACTCGGCTTCTCGGCGAGTAGTTTCGGGCACCTTGACCCGCATTGACGCGGACTTAATTGATGGATCGGAATCGCAGCATCGTTGCATTGTAGAGATCTGGTCACAAGCCTGGTTGCCTAATAACGAAATCACCTTTAAGTGCCGCAACCAGCCGGTGGTGCAGGCCCGTCACAGTCGATCCGTGGAGTGGGCCGAGAAGAAGACGCACAAAAAGCACAGCCACCGGGCCTTGGACAAGGTGGAGCACCTTTTCCACAAGTTTCAGGTACGATTTGGCCGCCGCTACGTGAGCACCGCCGAACGCCAGATGCGCCTGCGCATCTTCCGCCAGAACATGAAGACCATCGGGGAACTGAACGCCAACGAGATGGGCAGCGCAAAGTACGGCATCACGGAGTTCGCAGACATGACCAGCACGGAGTACAAGGAACGCACGGGCCTGTGGCAGCGTGATGAGGCAAAGGCCACTGGGGGATCTGCGGCTGTGGTGCCGGCCTACTCCGGTGAACTTCCCAAGGAGTTCGACTGGAGGCACAAGAATGCCGTCACCCAGGTGAAGAACCAGGGATCATGCGGCTCATGTTGGGCCTTCAGCGTGACGGGCAACATCGAAGGCCTGTACGCCGTGAAAAACGGCGATTTGAAGGAGTTCTCTGAGCAGGAGCTGCTCGACTGTGATACCACGGACAGTGCCTGCAACGGTGGCCTTATGGACAATGCTTACAAGTGAGTTGCGAAGGAGGAAAGATGTATGACAGTTCACCATTTAATTGTCATTCCTCCCACAGAGCCATCAAGGACATCGGCGGCTTGGAGTACGAGGCCGAATACCCCTACAAGGCCAAGAAGAACCAGTGCCACTTCAACAAGACATTGTCCCACGTTCAGGTGTCCGGGTTTGTGGATCTGCCCAAGGGCAACGAGACCGCCATGCAGGAGTGGCTGCTCACCAATGGACCTATCTCGATTGGTAAGGCAATGATAAATATAACCCCGAAAATCCACTCTAACCGATTGGTCTCTAGGAATCAATGCCAACGCTATGCAGTTCTATCGCGGCGGCGTCTCACATCCCTGGAAGGCCCTGTGCTCCAAGAGTAACCTCGACCACGGTGTGCTGGTTGTGGGCTACGGCGTCTCCGACTACCCCAACTTCCACAAGACCCTGCCCTACTGGATCGTGAAGAACTCGTGGGGTCCGCGCTGGGGAGAGCAGGGCTATTATCGCGTTTACCGTGGCGACAACACCTGCGGCGTCAGTGAGATGGCCACTTCAGCTGTGCTCGTCTAGACTTGGTTTGAGTCCATCTAATATACACAAATACGACTATATATAGGTTAATTCTTCAGACATAAACTTTGTGTACAATTCCGTTTCAATGTTCTTCAACCGACGCGACGAGGAAGCCATTAAGTTTTGAAGCTTCATATAACAGTATAATCATTTTGGACATCTGTAATCTCACGAAAAAGTCTGCATCCACATATTCTGCTTTAAATTGAAATAACAATAAATTGTACAAGAATTAAAACTTAGCAGCTGTACATATATGGGTGTTGAATCGCTTCAATCGATACCAGCCTTGGTCACAGCAACAGTTGGTCGTCAAGAGACAGTGGGGCAACCATTTACAGAAAAAACCAGTATATAATTATATAAAAATATATTAAAATATTGTAATGCAAACTTTTCGATTACGGAATGCAATGTGCTATTAAGAAATAATTATAACTCTCCGGTTTTGGTGACAATTGATTTTAAAACCCTACCCCACTGTGCAAAAGGGCAATATGTTAATTAGATTTACCCCAGGGACGTCGCCCCGTTGGAAGCCACACAAAGTGTGGGTTTCTGGTTCAGAGCAGGCAAAGCTCAGTAGCAGCTTGAAGCGCATCGTCGGCGGTGAACGGAGAAATGGCCATGGACGACTACGACGATGACAGTAAGTAAGCCTAGGACGAAAGGATGCAGACCGTAAACTCCAAACCATTTACATCCCAGTGAGCAGCGTGGGCGTAACCACGGCACGGATCGAGAACCAACATCAGCAGCAGCACCAACAGCAGCATGGACACCACCAACAGGGCCAGAGCCAGTATAGCGCTGGGGCGGTGAAAGTGGGAGGATGGCGATACGAGGATGCGAGTCGCTACATCGGCGAGTGGAACCAGCGCGGACAGAAGCACGGCATCGGGCATCTGCAGTTCGCCGATGGCACCCGCTACGATGGCCAGTTCCAGGAGGGTCTCAGCCAAGGAGTGGGCTGCCTCTGGTTCGCGGATGGCGCAAAGTCAGTTCCGATAATATCGAAGATGCAAACCTTCAGAAAAATAAATTCTTTGTTCCTAATCGGTCTTTAAAAATAATTGCTTTTAACACAAATATTATTTCATTCATAATCGTAACGTAATATCCTTCTTTAATTATTGGCAACAGTAATACAATGAGTACCTGTAGTAAGGAAGGAAACAAAAATTAGACAGCAATTTTTATGTTTTTATCGGTATAAGTGCAGGAAAATTTATCAAAGCTTCTTTCTTTTCGTATAACATAAAAGTTGGTTTGCATCCGTGTGAAAAATAATGAGATTTGACATTCAATTTACTCATTCTCCAAACCAGATACGAAGGCGAATTCCATCAGGGATGGTTCCATGGTAACGGGATTTTCTGGCGTGCTGATGGCATGAAGTACGAAGGTGAGTTTCGTGGCGGAAAGATCTGGGGCCTGGGTCTGCTGACGTTCCAAGACTTCACGCACGGCTTTCCCAGGAACGAAGGCTTCTTCCAAGACTGCCGCTTTATGAGGCGGCGTCGGTGTCCTGAGGTAGTGCAGCGGGCTCAGAAGTGCGCTCTAATGGCACGTTCCCAGTGCGAACACCCCTACTAATCATAGGCGTCAGATTCTGTATGGAAAGGCCAAAAAGCCCGTTATGGCCACTTCTAATCGATTGAGAGAACTTAACATTTTGGCTTTCTTCGCTGTTCCATGTATTAAGAATGATATCTATAAAAGTGAGTCAAATATGTGTCCTTAACAAAGATTACATTAAAATAAAAATTTCTACGGAGTTACCCTGTTAAACATATACATGCCAAAAGGACGTTTGTCTTGAAAAAACATTAGCAAAATTACCTCTATAAGTATATGTTAACCTTACAGCCCAAAAAATTGTCCAATCATGAAAAGTGTTGGTTGGATTTGGATCGAAATCGATCTGCTATAAATCTAGGTGTGAAGATCCTTCATGATATTGAGGGCAGATTGAAATTAACACCTTCACAATGTAACATACATTGACACGAATATAATATGGCTGTATAAAACGGATATAATATCACGTTTATACCCCTAATATCTTTAAGACTAATTTGTCCAGAATGGTCCGAAATTGCAATCCGCCTCAAAGATTCTTTTTTTGAACCTTAATAAAAACAACAACAAAATATAAATATAAATCCTAGAATATGTGCGTTCGCTTATTGGCTTTAAAGTATTAACAAGAATGCTATTGTTCCTTGGCTAATTCCCACTAGCCGCTCCAACCAGGTACCAGGCATTCCTGGCCTTGACCGCCGTGTTTCGCACCAATCGCTTGGGATCATCCAAGGCAGCGGCCAGGGCCAGAGTAACATCCACTTTGTGGGGCAACAGAACGAAGGTGGGATACTTTGTAATGTCGTAGAGCAACTGCAGCGCCGCTATGCGAACTTGCTGTAAAGAAAAAAATAAAACATTTAATATATAAGGATTTTTTTCAGTATTTTCCTAATTTAGGATAGGACATTTCCCCAAAAAGCACTTACCATTGTGTGCTGGGCCTTATATTTTGAAAGCTCCAGGCAGCTGGGGATGAGGTGGGCCAAGTGCCCCTGGAAGTATGCGTCCTGCTGCCCTACAAACTTTTCACAAATGCCCAGTGCAATGCACAGCGACTGCGCCTCGTTGTGCTCCTCCAAACTCTTGAAGAGCAGCGGACCCAACTGCTCGATGTTTAGCTTGATCACTGCCTGCGGCGTGGCCTTCAGTACGTAGACGAAAGCCTTCAGGTGATGCACGCAGTAGTCGGCCAGCTTGCTGCCCATCTTTCCCATGATTGTATGGAAAAGCTTCTGCTTATACAAAAACTTAACCACTGGCAAATCCAGTTCTGGGTACTCAGCAGCAATGATGTCGAATCCCAGGGCAGCGGCAGTGCTCAAACTGGGATGCTTGAGAAGATCAGAGAGCTGAAAGAGAATGGAAATAAATATATAAAATGTATGTCATTTATATCAGATTATAAAAATAGTAATTACATCGCCAACGATATCGGCAGCCTCATCGAATCCCGCGACCACCAGACCCTTCCCCACCCAGGCAAGGATCTCCACTGCCCGCACGTCTCCTTTCTTGATGGCAATTTTAAGCTGTTGCGTGATCTTCTTAACCTTTCCTAAGTTGGCTGGATTGCTCTCCATCTTGTTGACCATGCTGCAGAGCAAGTGGTGGGCAATCACACGCAGCTGTTCATTGTCCGTGGATAGAGAGAGCTGGGTTAAATCGGTCAGCAATCGGTCAAAGTGGTCATCCAGAGCGATGTCTTTATGCAGGTAACCGAGCAGACCCTTAGTAATGTACAAATCAGCAGACACATTTAGGTTGAGTCCAGGAAGGTACTCGCTAACAATCGCGCTCTGCTCGGAGAGGGGCAGTTGTTGCGTGATACGACTCAATGCACCCGCAATCTGCTCCAGCGATTGAAGTGAAAGACCCTCAGTGTGCTGACCCAGCTCAATGAGCTTGTGCAGTAGATTGGACTCCTGCTGCAAATCCACGATGAAGCGCTGATCCTCCAGGAGGAGCAGTTTGTTCAACGCCTCTAGGGCCAGCAGACGAATGGGCTCCGCGGATGTGTTCTTGAACGACTGTGTCATTATTAAATCCAAAATGCGTTGAGTAAACGCCATCTGTGGCAGAAGGGGCAACAAATTGTCGTAAATCTTACGCTTTACAAAGTTGGAGAAGATTTCAAAATTGCGCACGCAGACGTCTATAAAGTTAGACTGCACTTCCACCGGTTGCAGAGCTCCAAGGCTGACTGTTAGTACAGTAAAGTCAAGATCGATGGACGGATGGCTAATAAGCTGAACCAGCGCTTTGTAGACTAATGCACGCTGTTTCTCGCTGAGAACCGGAGCACTTTCGTTAAGGACAGAAAGGGAGGCCTTTTGTAGTTCCAAATCCTCCTGTTTGGCATCAAAACCATCTTGTTCGATAAGTCGCAAAGAGGCGATAACATCGTCCTGCAAGGATTCTCGTATCGTTGTGTCCAGTTTCTGCAGAGAATCACGTAATGCGGACAGCTTATACACCTGGCTAACTATGTGGTAGATCTTGATCCGCTGTTCGGGCCCAACATCCGTGGCCTGCAGCTTTAGCAAAAAGCTGTTGAGGATCTTGTCCGCCGCATAGGGTGCATCTCCAGCTACACAAACCAAGGCAATGCCCGTGGCAGGATGAAACAGGCGTTGATTAACATCGCTGAGATGAGGCAGGATTACCCCCAGGATAGAGCTTTGGTAGCTGTGGCTTATATCGGGTAAGTGGGAAGCTCGCTCCAGAAGTGCAGACAATGCCTTCAAGGAGGCCTTAAGGATCTCTTCGTTGTCGTTCCCGGGAAATGTCTCTGTCTTCAGAGCTTGCCAGATCTGATCGAAGTGAGGCTCCAAAACAGAGGGTGGGAACTTCAAGGCAGCTTGGTGCTGAAAGATAAAGAATTGTTAGTAAGTGTAGGAGATTTAAAATCTACATTTTTCTTGCCAGCAGCTCTATGGAGTCCAGTTTGGCTACCAGCAGCTCGCTCTCCAGCTTTTCTATGGCCAGCACCACTGTGCCTTCCGCGAATTCGTTGTTGGCCACCAGGCAGTTGGTCAACTTTGCCGCCAACTCATCTCGGGTTATGGCCGCCGGATCCTGCTTGCTGGGATTAAAATCGATTGGGAAGTAACAAGCGAAGATCTCAAACATCTCTTCGGCCAAATGAAGCAACGGATAAGTGGACAGGTATTCAGGCATGAAGGTGAATATGATGTCAAGGTTGCGGGGATCACGCTCGCCATCAATAGAGTTGATCAGACCGTAGACAAAGTCACCGGCCATCGTCTGGAGCTCTGTAAGCAAAAGCAATGCGGTTGAATTTAAGTTTAAATTTTCTTATTTTCCTTTGATCTAATTTATAGGACATACAATCAAAAATTAAAGTTTTAAAAAACTTAAGACTACAAGAACGCTAAAGATAAGATAATTGCTTTTTTAATCAGCATACCACGGCGATTCGATACAAATTGAATTTAATCGCTGACATTTACTGTCATAGGTCATAATAATAGGTCATATATAATATAGTCTGTTTTAGAGATAATTTGTATAAATTAAAATTTAGTCATAATTTGCTATAAACCATATTGTATTTACTAATAATTTTTTAATGAAACAAAAACATATAAAAGTTGTTAATGGTCTGACAAATCAAATCAATCCTATGACTTCATTTTTTTCATATAAGATAAGCGAGTCTAAAAATTATCAGTTATGGGGAAAGCAGTGACTATTTAAATAATTTTTAAGCTAGATATTTAAGATACGGTAAAAATGTTGATTAAATACTATTGTCCTATGTCATCAAAAGTTTATATCACTTAAATTAATTGTGGTTAGAATAAAAAAAGTTATTAATACAAAAAATTAATGTTTGTCTATGCAAAATCGAAAAATTGTAGAAAGAGGTGTCTTCAAAAATTTAACTTAAATTTGATTTGAACAAATTTTTGTACTTAATAAGTTATATTCCTAAAAATAATAGTCAACTATTGAGTCAATTTGTATCACCATGGTGATGGCACAAAAAATGTTGAAAATTGGTTTTAATATGTTATGTCTCTAATCAAAAAATTATTCATAGTTCTGATTTAAATGTTGCACTTTAATTTGTGAAAGTGGCACATTTTGCTTTGAAAAAACCGGTCAGTTTAGGGCTGCGTATTAGAACAAAAGAAGGCAGTGCCGGTAACAGCCATTGTTAAATTCATTAGACAACGCGCAAACAGCCAGCTATTAAGGAGAAACTAAGACCTCACCCTTTTTGAAGTTGATCGTCAGGTACTGGAAGATGTTGAACAGCTTGGTGCGGTCGCCACGCGTCTGTGACTGGCAGGTGGTGTGCTCGAAAAATGACTGCAGGATTTGGGGAACCTGGGCGGGCGGCAAAGCCTTCATGTGGACGAGAGCATCGATACCGTCGATGATAGCGGGCATCACGTTGTGGTGGTCTCGAAGCCGGTCCATATAAAAGGTGCTGAGGAACTCCAACTGCCGCTCCTGGAGCAGATCCTGAGGGAGGGCGACCAGAACGGCGGACAGCAGGTTGGTTCCGGCCACTCGCTCCTCCATGTCAGGCGAGGAGAGAGCGAAGCCCAACTCCTCGGCCAAGGTTGATATGTCATACGCTTTGGATGACAAATCTGAAGAAAACAAAGGAATCTGTGTGAGAACGGTCGGTCTGTCGGGGATGCTGGTTGGAACATGCCCTCGGCTATCTGGGTGGCTGCCTTCAGAAGCTTCTTATCGCTCTTCAGAGCCTTCTCCAGGGTGGCACGCGTGGGCGTTGTCATTTCGGGCGCCGTCGCTTGCGTGGTGTCTAAATTTAATATATGTTTAAGCACGTTAAGCCGAAATGTTAAGAACCGATAACCGATGACTTGCCGTATGGGCCTTATCTATAATTCAGCGTTGCCGGACCTTATTGGATTTGTGCAGCCAGCATGGATTTTTTAGCAAAAAATCTAGCTAGATCCTTTTGAGTCCAAAATCTTCAGCAATTAATTTTTTTTTAATATACTTTCAAAGAAATATATTAATAAATCCGAGACTTAGGGGAATTTCCTATCGAATGTTTCAAGCAAAATATTAATTTTCACATTATTGCCATTTGTTCTGGTTTTTGCTAATCAAATTTAAAAAAAAAAAACTTGTTTTTTCTACAGCAAATGCTAAAACTCGATTTGGTCAAGTGTTAGCGTTGGCGATCATTTGTAACATATATAACTATATTTCAATTCTAAAGTAATGGTTTCGTCAAGATGCCGCGTTTGCATGGGGCTATCGAAAACATGGCCAATATATTTGGCCACTGCAGAACGGTAATTACTCAGAACACCACAAAACACACAACAACTCTAACGGGAAAATCAAGTTAACATTAATGGGTCTTTTGGAAAAAACTTTTGTTTTTAATTTACCAAACATTTGGAATATGTTACGAATAAACTGTTTTTGTGGGAGGGTTGCAACTTTAAAAAAATTATTTTCACAGAAAAATATTTTAACTTCCTTGTTTTGAAACATATACGGATATACTCTAATATTTTTATAGCTTTATAATTACGGTTTTATTATTATAAAAATCGGAGGAAAATTTATCGCAAATTAAAATCAATGTTTTTAAAAAAGTAGCAGTGGTAGTAAAATGTACTTACAAATACTTAGGAGATTAAGTTCCTCGTTGTATAACAAAGGACATTTTCGATTTTTGTTCCTTCTTAATCGAATTCAAGTAGGCCATGAATTTGAATTCATTACATTGTAAACCGTAATTTTCGTCAAAAGTTTTGCAATACGAGAAACCCAAAGTTTTAAATATAAAATATATATATTTATTCCTTATTTTCAAGTAGAGAAAAGGTCGGCATCATGTTTAATGGAATCCCAACGATGATGAAATATGCAGCTCGATCGCCATATCAGTGCGGTCCCAGTGGCTTTAGCTTTGACAATTGCTTGCGGTGAGTTTCATGTTGGTGTATGGCAAACTAGTTTTATTAATGGTTATAAGTAACCCCTTTTACAAAACGTTATTCTCCAATATTCCAATTAATTTTGTGACGATGGGACTAATGAATGTTTTACTCTATCCGAAATTTGTTTGGAAGATATATATGTAGCCCCCAGTATATTCGGGACTAAGTTCATAAGCCAAGTAGATAAAGCAGTTCTGTCCGTACAAACTATTATAGGTGTTGCACATTTATGTATGTATGTACATAGAAAGGCGAGTGAACATTTAAACTCTCCCGAACCCAAAAACGGAGATGGTGTAACATCGTTCAAAAACTATAGTGTTAAACAGAAACCTTTTCCGGATGTTAATTATCATTATACTTCCTGTTGTCATCGGAAAAATGAAAAACTTTCCCCACAAGGTTGCACAACAAAGTTCTGCTTGTACATTTGACTCTCAATAAAAAAGAGCAAGTTCCATTATTACCGGTCTCATCAGATCTAGATATTTCTACTTACTTGGTTGAGTGTAAAGCCCAACTACAGATTGACTACTGTTGGTGTAAAATCGTACTAAATTCCAAACTAAACTTTGTAGATATTAAACTTATGTATTATATTTAACAGCTCCTTTTCCAGGAGTAATCACCTGGGCTTAGGACAGAATGTATGTCACATTTAGACAGACAGCGTTTAATTAAATTAAAACAAATTAATGTTATTATGGCCAAGATCTATCATCCTGTTTTCCTTGCTGTTTGGACACTCAGATTCATCTGATACCATGGACCGATAGGAACGAATTACACTTCAATGGCAAGGTAGCGCGAAAACTAAGAGGTGTTCTTTGAAAAATGTTATTTTTTGACACGCAAGAAGCTTAGATATTTTTCTGAAGCAATAGAAACTTTTAATAAGTGTATTTTTGTTCAACCTATGATATAATTATTTTTAAATTATGAGTTTTTATTATCGTTATAGGCAGATAGCACTAGGATACAATTAATAAAGAATATGATTATGACCCAGTGCCTCCAAAATAGGCAATACCCTGGCACCCACATTTTAAATAGAATAAATAGAACAGAAAAGGGAAGGGGTTTGTCTGTATTGTAGACAAAAAACAGCAATACAATTTTTTTAAAGTTGTAAAACAAATTTATAAATTTTGTAATAAGTTTCTTTTTTTTCCTTTTGACAGGAACGAAAGACTCGTCGAAAACGGTATTTCGGTGCCGAACCGTATCAGCACTGGCACCACCATAGTGGGCGTCACTTATGACGGAGGCGTAATCATTGGCGCTGATTCCAGGGCCACCAACGGAAACATAATACCCTCGAAAAATAGCAGCAAAATTTATCAGCTGCAGAGCAATATTTTGTAGGTACATTCTCTATCAACGGATTTTGTATCACGCATTTAAAAGCCTTGCATGATTAAACCAAAGACCAATATAAACTTTATATTGGTCTTTGATTAAACGGTAGGTTTTAATCCCAGCTGTCATCCCACTCGAAAATATAAAACAAACTGATCCATCGTGTCATTTGTTTTGAAAAAAAAGAAAACAGTTAATTTGCTTTAAAACCTCTCGAAGAGAGTTCTTGGTATTGAGTGAACGGTTTTTTCAATGTTTGGAAACATGCAGGGCTCTTATGTATATTTTGTACAAATGTAATCAATTTTTTTTTTATCATACTGACTTATTTACAGTCATGGAAAAAATAATAGAAACGACAATTTTTTTTCGTATTTTTCAAACTTTTCTTCAGTCAATTTTTTTTTTTTTAAAGTTTAATAATTTTGATTGATAGTCGATTCAATTATGTGTCAAAATATACCAAAACAATAATTTTCAAAAAACGTTATGAACTAAAAAATAATTTTTAAAATTTTTAGGCCTGGAAAAAATAATAGAAACGACTGAGTTAATTCTATGAAAAACAGTTTTGTAGCGTCAAAGCCTATTAGTTTAGATGGTAACTTTAATATATTGTTGTGCCACCGCTATTTTTAATGACTTTGGTTCAGCGGTGTCCCATTGAATCCACTAAATTGGCACAAATTGATGGTTCAATGGAGTACCACTCAGAATGCACTTTCTTCCACAAATCTTCCCTAGTTTTGGACTTAAGCCCACCAAGCCTCTTCTTTATTATCCCCCAAAGGTGCTCTATAGGATTTAAGTCTGGGGACTGCGATTACGGCTATTCATCACAATAATAAGCGCGCAACATCGGTGAATTTCGACAGGCGGCTTGTTAGAAAATCAAATAAAAATACCTTTCTCTCGTCGAAACATATCAAAAATGATTTGAATGCACCGGTTACAAGTCGAACCATAAGAAATAGGCTGATTGAAGCCGATCTAAAAGCCCATTCACACCGAAAGGTACCATACCTCAGCAAGAAAAATATCGACAAACGTGTACATTTCACGAAGGTGCATTTATTGCGCTCCAATTGGAAAAATAGGTTGTGGTCGGACGAAACCAAGATGAATTTGTTTGGATCTGATGGGGAACCACATGTATGGCGCCCTAAGAATACCGCCCACGATTCAAAGTCCTCTATTAAAGCCGTTAAACATGGAGGTGCGAAACTCATGTTGTGGAGATGCTTTTCCCAGTCGGGTTTTGGTCCAATACATTTGATAAAGGAAAAAATGTGTGCCACCCACTACGTAGAGATACTCGACAGCATAATGCTACGTTATGCTGAAGAGGAAATGCCAATTGAATGGAAGTTTCAGCAGGATAATGACCCGAACCATTCTTCAAAGCTGGCCAAGAAATGGTTTGTAGACAACGAAGTTCCCTTGATGGAATAGCCTTCGCAGTCCCCAGACTTAAATCCTATAGAGCACCTTTGGGGGATAATAAAGAAGAGGCTTGGTGGGCTTAAGTCCAAAACTAGGGAAGATTTGTGGAAGAAAGTGAATTCTGAGTGGTACTCCATTGAACCATCAATTTGTGCCAATTTGGTGGATTCAATGGGACACCGCTGAACCAAAGTCATTAAAAATAGCGGTGGCACAACAATATATTAAAGTTACCATCTAAACTAATAGGCTTTGACGCTACAAAACTGTTTTTCATAGAATTAACTCAGTCGTTTCTATTATTTTTTCCAGGCCTAAAAATTTTAAAAATTATTTTTTAGTTCATAACGTTTTTTGAAAATTATTGTTTTGGTATATTTTGACACATAATTGAATCGACTATCAATCAAAATTATTAAACTTAAAAAAAAAAAAAATTGACTGAAGAAAAGTTTAAAAAAACCGAAAAAAAATTGTCGTTTCTATTATTTTTTCCATGATTGTATATTGCTTACTTTTACAAGTGCTGGTGGTGCCGGAGTCGCACAAGACACAGCTGCCTTGATGGATGTGACGAGGGCGCAACTGGAACTCCATCGCATGAACACCGGATTCCGGACAATGCCAGTGTGCTGTGCCAACCAGTTGGTAAGGCAGTTGCTCTTCCGCTTCAATGGAAACATGAAGTCCAATGTGATAATTGGTGGCGTGGACCCGGATTACGGATCGCAACTATTTTGTACCCGGTTCGATGGCACCACTAACAGTGTCCAATTCACGTCCCTGGGCTCCGGTAATATGCCGGCCATGGCCGTGCTGGATTCGCGATGGACAGCGGATCTGGACGAGGAATCTGCCCGCGACCTCGTCTGCGATGCCGTAACCGTTGGCGTGGACAATGACCTTAACTCGGGCAGCAAAGTATGCCTGTGCATCATTCGCTCTGACTTCTCGGTACACCGGGAAGAGTTGGATCTCGCCAAGAGTACGCCGGTTCGAGGCTTTCCGCTGGTTATGAAGCCCGGCTGCACCGCCATTCTTTCCACCATCGAACATAGAGTAGTGCCTTGGGGGGAGGCTCCGGTTCGAGACGGTCCTGGAAGTAATCGTGGTGGTGGAGGAGAAAAGGAAAATCGCAGGCGAGAGCACGAAAATCATGGCCCACCCAAGTCCAAAAAGAGAAGGATGGAATAAAACCTGAATGCCCTCTTGTTCGACCCTCTTTCCCCCTTTCCATCTTACTACACTTCTTACCTTTTGGCGGGCGCCAAAAAGTTTTTTTATTGCCCAAATTATTTTGTTAGTTTATTGAATATTATATTTTTGTAAAGCTAATCCAAAATTTTTTTAGTTAAAAAACCTTTAAATAAGTTGAATATTTTAAAATGTTAGTTTTTCGTTCAGTGCCAGAAATAATATTACGTAAAGTTAACCAATTCAAGGGATTTAAAATAATGGTTTGCTTAATTTGCAATAAGGTAATTGTGAAAGAATAAATTACTTAATTACAGTGCTATACTAAAATTTAAGCTATTTCTCCATTTTTTATTTTTGTTCAAAAGAAAAAATACGATATTTTATATCGGTTCTAGTTCGAATTAACTAAATTATTTGGCTTTGCAATCAAGGTCTAAAGATTAGATGTATTCCCCATTCGCATCTTTACTTTGCGATCTTGGTGACTTTCAGTGTTTTCAGCACCCCTAGAAACTATCGATAGCTGTCGACTGTTGCACGACTGTTTAAAAACGCAACAGGGTGCCAATTGGCCGGGCACAGCCATCCGATATATTGATGACCCGCTCACCACTAGCAGTCGCACATCATTAGTATTACAAACACAGGCAGCAGCAGTTTATTTTAGCTACCGCAGCGCCTTTAACTAAAAACTAAATAAGTTTCGCATTAATTTTGCGCTTGGAACGCCGCGTAACAAAGCTAGTACACTAATGTCCATAACCGTAAGTCGCCCGCCGTCGCACAGTTATTGTAGTAGTGGCTGGGTCTGCGAGACGTCAGCGTTGTTGTTCCTGCAGCTGCAGACGCCCCCACGTAGCTGGAAATAAAAAAAGAAACGAAAATGTTGCCAAGTGCCGATTGCAAAGTGCAGTTCCCAGTTTCCAAAGGCTTGCAATTAACTTGAAATCTATTTAAATCGCCTTAATTTGTCCCAAAGTGCGCGAATGTGTGTGTGTGTGTGCCGCTGAAACCTGAGCTCTATGTGCGTGCATGTGTGTGTGCGAGCGTTAATTTTGTTGTTGTCTGTTTTTTTTTTGTTTTTTTTTGCATACGACGTTTCGAGTTGAAAGAATTATTCAAAGCCAACAAGGTCGGTCGCCTTATTTGGCTCATAATAATTTAATACATTTTCCAATCGGCATTTTGGCCCACGTCCCGCCTTGGAAGCGGAATTGAAAATGGGAGCGCGTTGCGTTTAAATTTGGTGTCAACTCGGCGGCTGTGTGCTTTTTAATTTATAATTAGCAGCGCACTTGGGTCGTTGCCACTGGTATCTTCTATTATTTGCACTTGTCGCCTGGTTTTCCTCCTTTTTTTATTGTTTCTGAGGCTCACTTTCCATTTTTACCTGCAAGGCGAGCGAGTGACGAAGTCGCTTCCGTTCTATTGTTCCCTTGCCACTAACACTTGGAGAAACTTACGCACTCGAACGCTTTAATTGGAACTAATCTCTATCTCTCGTTTTTGGCCACAATGACGACAACCTGTTTTGATGTTCCGATCACCAGTTACTGCGAGGTGGTAAGCAAAAGACAACCACTTGCGTAGGAATGACCGTAATGGCCAAGACTACGATCGAAGAAATATGCGAGAATGCCAAATTAGCGCGGGACATGGCTCTGACGGGCAACTACGACTCGGCCTGCATCTACTACGAGGGCCTCCAGGGGCTGCTCGTCCGCCAGCTTAAGGCCACTGCGGATCCTCTGCGCAAGGGCAAGTGGAGCATGGTAAGATACTCCCCATTTCCTTCACTCCCTAAAATAGAGTATAGATAGTTCTTAAATGGGGAGCAAGCTCATTAACATAGGACTAACCGCTTTAAGTGTCATCAGGGTTGGTTGACCTGAATAATGCAAAGGCAGTTAAAGGATATGGTCGTCCGGATTGGAAAAAACTTAACCAACATCTCTAAGCTCTGACAGATTGAGAAATGCAGTCTTTCAGTCCAGAAACTAAGTACAACAATCAGGTCGTACTTATCACAATAAGATAGTTGTCAACTACCATCTCAAAAAATTGAACATTCATACATAGATCGTAAACGGTAGAACAAGCTCATAAACTGGAAAAAACAGGCTTTAATGTCATTAACTAACTCTAAAGCAACAAAATCATCAGTAACTGACCTCATAAGTTGTAAGTCTGCTTAAGGATGTATTCATCCAATTCAAACAAAGCTGAGCAGATTCCCCCAATTTCCTAACGAACGTCAACTCAATCCAAGCTTCAGAATTAGGTTTATTGAATAGAATTCCACTTTTCTTTTATGTAGATTATGGTTTGAGATTTGCATGTTATAACGTAGATCGAAAATTGAACAATGTTATATACATATTTTAAATAAGTAGGTGCAACATTTTTTTTATCATTTTTTCTCTGATCCGAAAGATTTTTAAACTTGATTAATATAGTCCTATTGCACCATATGTTTTCTTACAAAATAACTAGGCATCTTTCGAGCAATCATTTATCACCTTTTACTTGTCATCAATTTGCAGATCAACCAGCAAATTAGCCAAGAGCACGCCAAGATCAAGGCCATCCAGCGCACCCTACAAGACATCTCGCTCGACCTACAGAGCACAAAATTCGCCCACAAGCTTCGCCACCAGCTTAGCGAAGAGAGCACCACCAGCAAAGATCCATCCGCCTGGTTTAAGCCGGACCCCGACATTTGGACGCCTCCGCCCAAGGATCCCGATGTGTGGGGTCCTCCGAAACCACCACCCACTACTCAGGCTGTGGGCCGTCGAGCCGCACCGAACAACAATCGCCGCACCACAACGGCAACTCAGAATAGCCGCCCTAGCAGCACAATCCCACAGAGCACTGCCCGGAACGGAGCGGCCTCGACACGCAATTCCCGTAACTCGATGTCAGCCGCAGCACCAAACAGTGGAGCACGCACCACCAATGGACGGGTAGGCGGACGCAAGCTGTCCACATCGAACAACACCAACGAGGCTAGGGACGACGACTCCACTGCTGCAGGCAGCAATGGCGGAGGAGCCGCCGGCGAGGGGGAGAACGGGGATCAGCAGGCCCAGGAGGAGGAGCGCAAGTTCCAGCCCAACAACCACATCGAAGCCGAGCTAGTCGACATCCTTGGTAAGTGAAATGTGATCTCTGAAAGTTTGGCAGTTATCTTAATACATAGTTAGCCAATTTGACTCAGCTGGTATTAGATCTGATCAACAGCAAAATAAGAAATCCCAATTAGATAATCAATCCTCTCTTTGCAGAACGTGATATTCTTCAAAAGGATCCCAAAGTGCGTTGGAGCGACATTGCCGACCTGCACGACGCCAAGCGGCTGCTGGAGGAGGCCGTCGTGCTGCCCATGCTCATGCCGGACTACTTCAAGGTGCGTCACCGTCTTTTTTTGTTTACTCTGAATCACTTCCCGCTGAGGCCTATCTACGGTTAGCACGGAGTTAGGTCAACAAACGCGCTTTTGTAGTGCTATGTTTGCTGGGCTATAGGGTTCTATATATTTAGTCAACTGTTTACAAAATGCATCGCAGCTGCTTTATCAACTGTTACTGCTATTTTAATGACTTTTGATGAGTGAAGCCTTTGTCAGTCTATTATAGAATTACTAAGAGTTGTCTGAAGGGCCATCTTTATTGCGACTTGAAGTTTTCATTTGTTAAAGTTGATATTTGTTTGCTATCTTGTTGCAAGTTTATGCGGTCAAATTTATTGAAATTTACAATGCCAAGCAAGAATGCATAGATACCAAATAACCTGTATGTTCTTATAGTTTTAATAAAATATTAATTTGAAAATTTTGAAATTTCCGCAACTGGTATCCATTTTTCCAATAACTCAAATAAAAAGCTCCCATGCAGTGGACGTCGTGTTTTGTTATTGCAGAATTCTTTAAAACTACATTTTTATTTTAAGTGTGTATCTGAAAAATTAATAACTTAACCCAAATTATACAACATTTTATTTATTTTGCAAGAATTGTCATTTACAAGAATTGTCATTTGCAAGAATTGTAATTTTTAAAAATAGTTCAAATAACAAATTCAAAATTGGTATATTCAATCAGTAGTGTGAGCAAAATTTGAATAAAATTGGTTAAACATTGTGTGTCTCTACCGGTCTTAAAATATTTAGTTTTGACAAAAAACGCGATTGGATTAAGACGAGTACCCCAGTGAACAAAAGGGTCCAACTAACTATACCCTCCACAAATGTATATATTCGATCTGTAAAACTTCACAATATACGAAAATGATTTAATATTTTACTTTATTTTGATTATTTATCCTTCAAACAGGGAATACGGCGGCCCTGGAAGGGAGTTCTGATGGTGGGACCCCCCGGTACCGGCAAGACAATGCTCGCCAAGGCGGTGGCCACTGAGTGCGGAACGACCTTCTTCAACGTGAGCTCTGCCACCCTTACATCCAAGTACCGCGGTGAGTCAGAGAAGATGGTGCGGCTGCTGTTTGAGATGGCGCGCTTCTATGCGCCCAGCACAATCTTTATCGACGAAATCGACTCCCTGTGCTCACGTAGAGGGTCGGAGTCGGAGCACGAGGCATCGCGCCGCGTAAAGTCGGAACTGCTAGTCCAAATGGACGGAGTGGGTGGCGGAGAGGAACAAGCCAAGGTGGTGATGGTGCTGGCTGCTACAAACTTTCCCTGGGATATTGATGAAGCGTTGCGACGCCGACTAGAGAAGCGCATTTACATCCCTCTGCCATCGGATGAAGGACGCGAGGCGCTGCTAAAGATCAATCTGCGGGAGGTGAAGGTGGACGATAGCGTCGATCTTACCTACGTAGCCAACGAGCTAAAGGGATATTCCGGAGCTGACATCACAAACGTCTGCAGGTGGGTAAAACAGACTTGATTTTTTTGTAAACAATTTAGTCTATTCACTTTCATTATTGTATTTAATAAACTACTACACAATAATACTATACCTTGGCATTACAGAGAAGCCAGTATGATGTCGATGAGGCGGAAGATCGCTGGCCTTACCCCAGAGCAGATCCGACAGTTAGCCACTGAGGAGGTGGACCTGCCCGTGTCCAACAAGGACTTCAACGAGGCCATGAGTCGCTGCAACAAGAGCGTGTCCCGGGCGGACCTGGATAAGTACGAGAAGTGGATGAAGGAGTTCGGCTCGTCATGATGGCGTTGCCCACGTGAATGGCTAGCAATTGTAGGAATATATTTTTGAATAGCCTTAGATATGCGCTTAAGTCTTTAAGCTTTTAAAGTGAGAACCGAACCGATCCAAGCCGAACGGAAGAGTTGAACATATTTTATATATAACATTTTGCATATACGATACAATCTATATATTTACATATATACATTGAACCGGAGGCCGTTGGAATTCTAAAAGACTAACCGTTCTCAAAGAGGAAACACAAATGCAAAACTGAAATTGAATCGAAGTCGAGATATAGGCAATATGTTTATATATACATAACAAACACACCCACACACTCCATGAAGCACAATCCTTCCAACTAATCGTTAACCCACAATCACACTCTATATGCAATAAGGAACCGCTTTAATCGCCGCCTAGCCTTGGCCCCATACTCCCACGATATGCACACTCCAAATCGTTTCATATTTTTATCCAAAAAATTTATTTTTAACAAGAAATGTTCACTGTCTAATATTAATGTTAATTTTCGCTTAATTTATACATATACATATATATTATCATAGTTTAGTGCAGGCAGAGATGTAGAGCACCTCAAACGTTAATTTTAAAGCAGCTAGAACGTTCCCTCTGATTTGCAAATAACCCACTGTAATCAGAAGAAGAAACTGAAGCAATATGTACTTAAAGTGAGGATTCTGAAATTTTAAACAATAAACACAGTTTTTAACTATATGAAGATACTTTTTTGGAATATTGGGTGCTTTCGGAAAATGATTTTTTTGCGAAGATCAATTTTGATCGGATAGTATCACATCCTAAAGCTGGCATTAAAATGATCAGACTTAACTTGTCTAAACTAGTACGCCGTTTTGCCAAATAAGTCATTATACCTGTTTTTATCTTTTAAAGTGATGGCAACTAAAAGAACGACATTGAAATGTAGCCCTAAAAAGGAAACGTAAAGCTAGCCTGACAAAGAAACTTTTGTTTATTACATTTATAACTGATCGAATAAACTCGCCTGGTGAAAGTTGATGCGCAGTGGCAGTTAAATATGCTACGAACAGAGGCCAATAGCTCAGTAGGGTCTGGTCGGCGGGGGCATGGGCATCAGGGGACCCATCATGGGGTATGGAGCGGAGCCGCCTGCCGAAGGATAAAATCCGCCAGAGGGCAAGTTTCCGTAGGTTGGCAAAGAAGCGTTGGGCGGAGGACCCTGGCGCTGTTTGCGCATAAGGTCCTGCATCTTCTCGGCCTTGAGGCGACGCAGGTGCATGGTCCGCCGGCTGGCGAGGAACTCCTCCAGGAAGGCCTCAACCCCGAGATCGCTGTCGTTGAACTTCTTGATCATCTCCTCGGTCTGCTCCTCGCTCTCGGAGGCTGCGGTCTGCAACAGTGCCAGTGACGTTTCTGGACCCACTCCGCCTGACTTTTCCTTGAGCTCGGACAGCTTCTCCTGCACAGAGGAGCAACGAGTGCGTCCCTCCTCCGACAGCTCTGCCAGGTGACCACGCAGCTCTATGATCTGTGGCTCCCGCTCTATGTTTCGCTCAGCTCGACTCCGATTGTCCTCGAAAACGCTGGTCTTCTGTGTTCGCAGCCCTTGGAGCACCTCGTCCACCTTTTCGTCTAGCTTGTCGTCGTTGTTCAACAGCTCCTTCAGCTCATCGGAGCCCATTGGCGTAAGGGAGGCCTGCAATTGGTTCATGTATTCCTGGTACATTTTTGCAGACTGTGTGGGACTTCGTCGACTATCAAACTATTTTAATTTTGCGACTTTATATTACTTTCAATGACTATTAGAGACTTAGAGCTGGAACAAAGCCCGTGATAACAACGATATATCGATATTTTTACGATGTTAAATATCAACTGAACCACACTGACTAATATTTTCATACTACGCTTAAATTATAATAAGGGTATTCACTAAACGACACGATCGTTGAAAATTCGATAGAAATTTGAAGTTTTAGAGGGTGCCGGGGTATCGGAATATTTAAAATTTTTTGGAACTTAAGTCTCGTTTACACCGGTATTAAGTTTTAGGAATATCGAGTTTCCGGCTAAAGTGATCGGAAAATGCTGATTTAAAAATCCGATTTATACTTAAGCGCGTTTCCTACCGTCATTTGAATGACTGTTTACATCTCGCGTTTGAATGAAAACAGCGGGTTAAAGCATTAAAAAAAATGGTTTGGCCTATGGGTTAGCCACACATTAATACTATTAGTACTAGCAACGCTGTTTTATGCGAAATATGGGCAAAATATAGCTAATGGACAACAACAATACTTAACCCTCCGTAGCAAAATCAAAATAAAAGAGTTATGGAGTTATCCTTATATTTCTAGGAATACCAACGTTTTAACGCACCTAACAACTTATACCGTTTTTTTAAGTAGCGTTCTATTCGCCGTGCGAATATTGCAAATAAATTTTATTTAAATAAATTATGCTTATTGCAAATATTTGTCAAAGGAAACAGGCACTTTCTTCACATTTTGAAACTTGGCAATGGAAGCGAATCAGGCTACTTGATTTTGGGCTCAAGGCTGCAACGTTGCTTTCATGGATTCTTTATTGTTTCTCAAATTTAAGCGATTTATCACAGTGGAATCGTGCTATTACATACCTTTACAAATACCCCTAGTTATTTCCAGCGTAGACGGTATCCACCATCTATTTAATCGCGGTCACACCGGCATTTAAGCTTCGACTTTGGCCGGTTGGGTTCTCTATATATACGATATATATAGAATAAATACCGCGATTAACAGCTCACCAGCCGGAATCAATAGACAGCGATACAGGTGCGGAAGTTAATCTTTGCTAGTATATAATATATATCATATTAAAACCAATTTTCATCACAGTAGGCAATATCAGTATAGGCGGCTAAATCTGATAACGAATCTTTTGGAGCGATCTCTAGCGAAATGTCTGCAGACCGACTGGATGTGATTATCTTTGGGGCCAGTGGCTTCACTGGCAAGTACACGGTTTTCGAGGCAGTCACCGTGCTCAGCGGTCTGCGATGGGGAATCGCGGGCAGGAACCGTGAAAAACTTGAGGGGGTGCTGAAGGAGATGGGCGCAAAGGCCAAAAAGGATCTCTCGCAGGTGCCCATCTTCATAGCAGATGTCAACGATGAGGCTTCTCTGTTGGAAATGGCCAGGAAGTGCAGGATCGTGGTAAACACAGCAGGGCCTTATCGGTTCCACGGCGAGAAGGTGGTGAAGGCCTGCATCGAGTCTGGCACCAACCATGTCGACGTCAGCGGGGAACCCCAGTACATGGAGACCATGCAGCTGAAGTACGACCAGCGGGCCAAGGAAAAGGGGGTGTATGTGGTCAGTGCCTGTGGGTTTGACTCCATTCCCGCCGACATGGGCGTCATCTTTGTAGAAAAGAACTTCGATGGCGTCGTAAACTCCGTGGAGACTTTCCTCGAAAGTGGGATGAAGGAGGGCGTAAGTGGCGGAGGCAGTTCGGGCTTGAACTACGGAACGTGGGAGAGCGCCGTCTATGGGCTCGCCCACTCGGATGAGCTGCGCGGCATCCGCCAGCAGCTCTTCCCCCTGAGGTTGCCCAAGTTTTTCCCCGTCCTCAGGCCACGACCCCTGATCTTCCGTTCCACCGAAGTGGACAAGGTGTGCCTTCCCTTCCCCGGTTCCGATCGTTCGGTGGTGATGAGATCTCAGCGCTTCCTCTACGACCAGGACAAGAAAAGACCCGTGCAGATGCAGGCCTACGTGGGATTCCCCTCTTGGCTGGCTGCCGGCGCGGTAATCCTTTTCGCCAGCATCTTCGGACTGCTGTCGAAGTTCCAGCTTGGGCGAACGCTGCTACTGAAGTACCCAGGCCTATTTTCCGGAGGTTTGGCCTCGCGTTCCGGACCGAGCGAGGACTCAATGGAGCGTACCTATTTCAAGATGACTTTCAAAGCCACTGGCTGGCCCAAAGGAGATCGCCTGGCAGAGGGCTCAGACCAGTATACGGAGCCACCGTCCAAGTCGCTAATGGTACGTGTATCGGGAATGAATCCTGGATATGGAGCTACCTGCGTGGCTCTACTCTCTACGGCAATAACCATACTGCGCGAATCCGAAAAGATGCCTAACAACGGCGGAGTTCTGGCTCCAGCAGCCGCTTTTTCCAAAACTAGCCTCATCAGCGAGCTGGAGAAACACGATCACGGCATTAAGTTCGAAATTCTGGCCAATAAGTAAAGTTAAACCAAAACTTTAATACAACGGCTCTCTTCTAACTGCTAGGCTATGATCCGTTTATTACACGGTTTTAACTGTAATTATATAAGCACTTATTAAATATACGTTCACAACCAAAAGACCCGCTAGTAATGTGTACCTGAACAATATTTGTCGAATTCAAAGTTCAACTACAATCACAATACTTTCGCTGTGAATAAACAGGTTATGGGAATTTTGTCTCACCTTAAAAGGCAAACAAAAATAACATGGACTTGAGAAAAGGGCAATCAGCCTTCCCTGACCTTTTAAGGTGTACCTATTTTAGATTTGCACTGTGACTCCAGACAATGGCGAAATTTGAGTTTTTTTTTAAATAATAACTTGAGCCATACGAGATAATCTAATAATTGAAATGGCTTATGATAAATAAATTTGTAAACTATAAAATAAATGTTTGAAACATTTTAAAAACGCCTTATAGAAACATAATAATAAATAATATTCAAATTTTGTGAAAAATTAATTTTCTGTCAACTACAAAATTATTTTAAACATATTTATATTTTTGATTCTTTAAACTCATTTTTTTAGAGAAATCACAGCTTGTGGGAAAGGAATATTTAATAGACTAATCATTTCCGCAGAGTAATCATTCGATTGCAACTCTTCTCGTAACTTTTGCCCTTTTATACCCTTGCAGAGGATATTATAATTTCAGTCAAAAGTTTGCAACGCAGTGAAGGAGACATTTTCGACCCCATATTCTATATATATTCTTGATCAGCATCACCAGAAGATTCGATCTAGCCATGTCCGTCTGTCCGTTTCTATACAAACTAGTCTCAGTTGTAAAGCTATATGCTTTACAAAAGTTCTCTTTCTATTGCAGGTAGAATATAAGTCGGAACGAGCCGGCGACAATCGTGTGAAAATTTTTTTTAAAAAATGTGTTTATGTTTATCATGTTATGTTATGTTTATCAGGCACTCCTGTGCTTCTTCGCAATGCACTCCTATTGGCAAAGATTATATATTTTCCAAGCTCCAATATTTATAATGCATGTAAGGGTAAATTTCTTCATATTAATTACGTTTAACCATTATTTGCTGTTTAAAACATTTAAGAGTGTTCATAATCTTTTATTGATTTTATTATTTTTCTCTGATATACGTATGTACATGCTAAATTAGAACCCAAATGAGTAGATTAATCACGCATTTGTACACGTATTCCTGGACATAGGGAAGCGTAAACTTTCAAAGAATGAAGAAGAATTATCAAAGAACATATTTAGGATGTATGAAAAAGACTGTTTCATAGCCGAACCATGTAAATTAATTAATTTTAAAATTGTATTGTTCGTTGTTAGGTACGATTTAGAACTTTTAGTAATCTACATATATTATTTGAAGTAACACCAAGTTCTTTTTGTCAACCAATAAAACCAATCTAACCCTTTAAGGAAAAAATCATGTTTTTCGGAGCTTTTCTTCCGATTTAAACATTTTCTGATCGACAAAAAACCATGTAGCTTGCTTTTTGGCGAAGATTTATCCAGTTACAACAGGAACTTGATTAGACTCCGGTTAATAAAGGCTGGTAAAACTTTAACATAATTTATTTTGCTCAGTAAATAAAAATCTTTATCTGAAAACACTCAAGTGTTATACTACAGTTCTCATGTTTGGAAGACTAGTCTGAGGAGCAGCACCACTGACTAAAGGTTTGGCCAGGGTCGTGAATCGCCTGCTGAACTGATCCCGCACCAACTCAGGTGTAACTGTGGATGCCGCGTCCAGGAACTCCACCACTTGGATTTGGCCTTTGTCGAGCACTGGAACCCGAAGAACTCGAAGACCCGGAAGAAGTACTTGGGATTGGATAGAACCAAGGAGCCCAAACAGTAGTATTAAATGGAGCATCATTTTTGAGTGGATGCACGTGAATACTTGAGTCCGAATCGTCTCCTTACATTTTATACTTATCCAGGTAATTCAGGAAGTCTTTTATTTCCCGAATACCGGGGTGATTGATCTGCCTTAGAGGGAGTGAACCCCAAATGCTTACCGCAAAAGCTCAAATATGTACATATGTATGTAGCAGTATGCGGTTTTTTAATAACTGGATTTGATATAATTTAAATGGTAAATGTTACCAGTGCACAGTGGTCTAAATGGCCAATCTGGCACGTACATTAATTTCACTTATTATCTGCACTTATTTGATCCATTGTTTTCTCAACTGTATGCTTGAAATGATGAAGTTTGACTTTAATCTGACTTTGCAAAAAATTGTTATTGCATTCTAGTTTATACATAGTCATCTTTAAAGTGGCGAGTTTAAAGAGTGGAAAACCATTTTAGGCAAAAACATTCCTTGTAACTTGTAATTATAATCCAAGAACTGATTAAGACTTGAATTAAACGTCTATGAATTTAGTGCTAGTAACAAATTTTGATATTGTTTGAGCAACGATGATATTGAATGAGAGAAGTGCAGAAATAAGACATGATACTGGAGTAGGTTGATACAAGATACTAGGTTGCTACTGATACTAGAGCTTCAGTTTGTTGAAATTATATGTATTCGATTTTATTTACCTTTCGTAATTCGAATAGCGTTCTAGATATTTTTCACTTTTAATATGTAATTAAATATTTTTTTTCTTCACCATTAGTAAAAACACTTTTCAGATGCATTTTTCTTATATTTTATATTCTCTTTATAAGAGAACTTTGTTTTGTAGCGAATTGTTATTAAAGAATTCTACAGTGTAAAAAATGCTTTGAAATCACTTGATGAGCATGTTAAAGGTCTGGTTAGGGGCGTAAATCTGGAGAGGATTGGCCGCGTAGATGGTCACCGGCAGGTTCCACACCATCGTTTCTACGGGCAGCTCTGCAGGGGCCTTCAACTCGCCGAAATCTGGATTCGGTATGCCGAAATCCATCAACGTGGTGGTTACAAACTCGAAATGCAATCGCCATCGGACGTCGACGAGGTCCGTACGGAATGTGGGTGTTACATGCAGCGGAATCGGGACCACCACCTGGGTCTGCAACGTGGCGTAGCACACCTGATGAGAGGTGGAAATGGTAGAAAGTTTCCCGGTTGGCTCAGGAGCGTCCTTATCCCGCGAACTTCCAGAAGTGGCCGATTTGTGCAGGTTATCGGCAACCACTCCGCTAGCTATGCTGGCCATATCAAATGAGTTTATCGAGGAGACATCATCCCCCGCAGAGGATTGGGATTGGAGCTGCTGGGTCTGGACAGGCTGTGGTCGGATGGAAAGCTCCTGCTGCTGCAGCTTCACCGAGAACTGGACGCAGCGCACCTGGCACTGGCCAAAGTCTAGGCTGCCCACGATGTCCTCGCCAAGTTTGTAAGCTGGCTTGAACAAGCAAAAGCGACCGACGAATCCACGCTTGTTTGAAATGCGGTAGAACTTGGGCGCACGGCGTGCGGTGACGTTCTGAAAAATGTAAATTAGCCAATTAAAGATTTTTCGAAGATATTGGATTTCGAATCATATCCTGCAAATGTTTAAAATAAGTACGTAAACTGCTTTATTTGAGTCTCAAAAAAACGTTGTAAAATTTGTAAACCACTTTAATAATGTCTTGTCAAATAATGTAGCAATGTTTTTTTTTTTGATAAAAGTCAACATTCTTATGTCTTATTTACCTTCAGATGATGCCAGGATATCTCTAGTTCGCTTATCTCGCGTTTCTCCAGGAAAGGATTAGTGGGCGCCAGCTCCTCATTGGTCTCTACAGTTACGGGCAGCTCGTCGGGCCGGGAAATGATGGGAATGGGCAGCGCCCGGATGGGAACAGTCAGCGTTTGCACCTTGGATTTGACTCGCTGCGTAGCTATGGTGATCTTGTAGAAGTACCGGATGTTGTGGCCTCTGTATGTCGGAGGACCATCGCGCGGCACGAATTCGTTGAAGAAATCTGTAAAATTTATTAATAATAATTAGTTATTTAAAAAACACCAAAGGAGAGAAAACAATATCTTTTCGAAGAGTATATAAGTATAATCAAACGAAAAATGAAACAATGACAATAGTAGACTACTTATTATACAACTTTGGTCAGAATCTTTTGTGGGACTTTTAAGAACTCCGTCTCAATTTTAAAATCAAATAACTTGCATAGAACCCTTCGATTTATATTGACTTGCCTAGTGATGCTGATCAGGATATATCAAAATATGCTTTTGCAGATATCTTTGATTTTAATTAAATTGTAAACGTTTAGAAATTGGGTATGGTCTTTGTATGAGTCATTTGTAATTATCTTTAAGTGCAATCAAATGTATCCTATAGAAATGTAAGTACAATCAAATGTATCCCATGGAAATGAGGACGGGAAGGGATGTTTTAAAACGACGTTTAACTAGGTGAGAAATCTATAATTACCTCTACAAGGAAAAGTTTAACTTTAGAACTACATTTCTGTGCCAGTTGTATCACAGGCGTAGTACTCACACATCTTGGTCTCTCCAGGCTGCAGGCGCAGATCGCAAAAGAGGATCTTGGGTTTGGTGGCCACAATCACTTCGCCAGGTGCCTGGGTAACCGCATCCAAGGCTGTTCGCCCGATCATCTCCGTGAGTTCGGCAGTCCTGTCTGCCGTGGAAGTGGAGTAGCTGGTCTTCCGGTAGCAGTGCAACTGGGCCGAGGCCCAGGCGAGGTTTTCCTGGCTGTTCCAAGGGAATTTTCGGTCAGTTAGACAAGGTAAACAAGGCGCAGCTCACCTGGCTTCGTTGGCATTTCTGCTTTGGGAAGCGGACTGGTCATCTGAGAACACTCTGTGGGTGAACTCGATCAGGCACTCTACTCTCTCACCAGTGGCGTAGATGGCCGAGTCCGCCCGCACCAATTTGGCTTTGATTTCAATCATTTATTTACGTTTCGCCAAGGCAACAAATGCATCGGGACCAAAAATAGACTGACCGTATGGGAATGTAATGGAAATGCTGCAATGATAGAACTCTATGTTCCCGTAGATAACAGTTCACCACAGTAAGCGGGGACTTACTCCGCCGGTTACTCTCTTCTTTCACCACTTTTGGAGAAACACCAAAATGAGCATCATTAGTGGGGTTGCCAACCATTAGCGATGTTTTGAAAGTATTGATGGCATGTACACACTGCGGAAATATGTTGTTGTGGGGGAAAAACGGAAAAAAATAAAGTTTTTTATTTGTTCGATTGAACTGGAACTGAGTCCCGCGGTGAGTTTCTGAAGCAGCACTGGTCTCTCATTGTTAATTTTTTGGCTTATGGGGAATGAATTTGCATTGTTTACAAATATGTTGTTATTGTTTACCTTTGATGAAAGTGAATTCAAAGTCCACATTTCAGTTGGGTTTAAGCAAAGAGTAAGAATCTGTATAGAGGCGTCATTCTTACTCTATGCCTCTATATAGTTTCTTACTCTATGTTGAATTGCCGCTAAGAGAGGCGAGCGGCCCTATTTACAGGCCAGCGCTCTCTTCGCGAACATTCGAGTCGCCCTCTCTCGAAGCGTCGAGAACTGAGAGAGATGGCATGCTGCTGCAGCAATGAGAGCAAGGGAGAGCAGAGCAAGCTAAATTAAGAGAGGGTGCTTGTTTGTTGTTGGACTCGAAATTTCTCGACATTTCTCCGCGTCAAGTCAGTACCTACCGCAACAATTTTTTTTGTTTTGAGTTCTGGAAAGTGTAATTGTTTTAAATGCTTAGTTTTCGGCGTATTTGCTATTTACTCGCCCAGTTTATACCGCGGATCGATCGACCATTGCTGCCATAGGAAGGTTGAGGTCAAAATATCTTAATTTCGTTATCCTTTATGATTAATTTTATTTATCAGTTAATCTAAATTAATGACTTTATCCCAGAGAATAAAACCAAATCCCATTTGCGTTCCTAAAATATATACTAATGCAAATAAAAGACATTATCCATTTGGATAAAAAAAAATTGTTGTTTGACATCGCCAAGGTAAAAAGAAAATCAACCGCATGTGTCCAAAAATTAACATTTAATAAGCAGAATCAAGTCAAATCAATAGTAAGTATTTTTTTATAGAAAACTTGAGACCATTGCGAAACTCCCAAAACTTATAATACAATAATAATCATTAACGGTAATAGCAACTTTTGAACTACCCTAGTGTTCAAATGAGTGCTTATGTAAATTACATTTTTGTTAGAGCTTTTGCCAAAGCTAACTTAATTTTTGTTTTATTCCTACTTTATGAAAGTTCACTTTTTATTCTATCGATATTTTAACAAATCGACGCACCTCTATAGATAAACAAATATTATGACTAACCGGCTGATGAGTACGTGGATGACTAGTTTCAATTAAAAGAGCAAAAGAATATTGTCAACATGTCGCGATCATACTGCGGATACAACCCGCCACCTCCCAATTTTGAGACATTTTTTCTGGAAAAATATGAAGACCGACTCCAGCGTCTTCCCAATTTTGGCAAAATGCGAGAGTCTTGGGAAACCCACAAGCGACCCACACTCATAATGCTACATGTGTTCGCCGATGATTTTGGAGCTCTTGAGAAATGGATGCAAATGTCTTACGAACTGGCTGACGCTGAGGTTCTAGGCCGGAAGATGGACTTTTACGTAGACGATGTGTGGAAGGCGTTTATCTTCAATGAGGATGAGTTTAGCTTTTTCCGTAGTGACGAAGGCTGCTCCGTGAATTCAGCTCCACTGATTTACGCCGTAAGTGCGAAGGGAGAAGTATTCTTCTTCGGCGATTTTGCTGGACCAAAATCGCCCACACTGGAAAGCCTAAGTGACTTTTGCAAACAAGTAATAAACGGGAACATGAGGGAACCCGCCTGCAGAGAGCCCAGGGTGGAGAATATAGACTTGGCCAGCTGGGACGAACTTTTATATGCCTCCGATGAAGATATAGCCCTCTGTTTCTACAACTCTCTGCAAAGTAGCGCACAGGTTAATACTAGCCTAATGATAACTCTGGAGCGATTGGCCGATACATTAAAACAGGAGTCGGTGCGTCTGTACAAAATGGACATTCATGGAGTTAGTGTCCCCAAGAAGTTTGCCGTAGAATCTGCGCCCGCCTTCTTCGTACTGCAAGGAGCCGAAAAGCATAATCCACTACGATGCAAGTATGAACTTGGCATATGGAAAATGCTGAGATTCGTCTCCGAAAATTCCAGCCAGGAGCTGAATTACTACAACCGTCAGGGACAACAGAGACTCCATGCCAGCTTGCTTGCCCATATGAAGGATTACTTCAGTTTAAGTTCCGAAAAATTTAAACATTTTAACTGAAACAGTTGTTTATGGAAATTTTATGGTTTCGCTGTGATATGTAATTGTATAAATTATTAGTAATAGAATAATACTATGAAGAAACCAAATGGATAATGTCTTTTATTTGCTTTAATATATATTCTAGGATCGTCATAGCAAATGGGATTTGTTTTTATTCTCTGGGATAAAGTCATTAATTTAGATTAACTGATAAATAAAATTAATAATAAAGGACAACGAAATTGAGATATTTTGACCTCAATCTTCCTATTGCAGCTATGGTCGATCGATCCGCGATATAAACTGAAAACACCGAAAACTTAGCATTTAAAACAATTAATGCAAATTTTCCAGAACTCAAAACTAAACAAATTGTTGCGGTAGGTACTGACTTCACGCGCAGAAATGTCGAGAAAATTCGAGTCTAACAACAAACAAGCACCCTCTCTTAATTTAGCTTGCTCTGCTCTCCCTTGCTCTCATTGCTGCAACAGCACGCCATCTCTCTCAGTTCTAGACGGTTCGGGAGAGCACGGCTCGAATGTTCGCGAAGAGAGCGCTGGCGTATAAATAGGGCCGCTCGCCTCTCTTAACGTCAATTCAATTCAAACAAGCAAAGTAACAACATCGCTAAGCAAAAGCTGAGCAAACCAAAACAAACGCGGCTGATAAAGCTAAACTAAACTGCAATCAATTGCAAATTAAAATAATCTACTAAATATCTACTCAAGCTGTTATTACTGAAAACAGGAACAAGCTGAGAACTCCAATTTACCATTTACCCATTACCAAGTAAGAAGCAAACACACAATGCCAGCTATTGGAATCGATCTGGGCACCACGTACTCCTGCGTGGGCGTCTACCAACATGGCAAGGTGGAGATCATCGCCAACGACCAGGGAAACCGCACCACCCCGTCCTACGTGGCCTTCACAGACTCGGAGCGCCTCATCGGCGATCCCGCAAAGAACCAGGTGGCCATGAATCCCAGGAACACGGTGTTCGACGCCAAGCGCCTCATCGGGCGCAAGTACGACGACCCCAAAATCGCAGAGGACATGAAGCACTGGCCCTTCAAGGTGGTCAGCGACGGCGGAAAGCCCAAGATCGGGGTGGAGTTCAAGGGCGAGGCCAAGCGGTTCGCCCCCGAGGAAATCAGCTCGATGGTGCTGACTAAGATGAAGGAGACGGCGGAGGCGTATCTGGGCGAGAGCATCACGGACGCCGTGATTACAGTGCCTGCCTACTTCAACGACTCCCAGCGCCAGGCCACCAAGGATGCCGGCCACATCGCAGGTCTGAACGTGCTCCGCATCATAAATGAGCCCACGGCTGCTGCACTGGCCTACGGACTGGACAAAAACCTCAAGGGGGAGCGCAACGTACTCATCTTCGACCTGGGCGGTGGCACCTTCGACGTCTCCATCCTGACCATCGACGAGGGATCGCTGTTCGAGGTGCGCTCCACTGCCGGAGACACCCATTTGGGCGGCGAGGATTTTGACAACCGGCTAGTCACCCACCTGGCTGAGGAGTTCAAGCGCAAGTTCAAAAAGGACCTGCGCTCCAACCCCCGCGCCTTACGACGACTGAGGACGGCGGCCGAACGAGCCAAGCGCACGCTCTCCTCCAGCACGGAGGCAACCATTGAGATCGACGCCTTGTTTGAGGGCCACGATTTTTACACCAAGGTGAGCCGCGCCAGGTTCGAGGAGCTGTGCGCAGACCTTTTCCGCAACACCCTGCAGCCCGTGGAGAAGGCCCTCAACGACGCCAGAATGGACAAGGGCAAGATCCACGACATTGTGCTTGTAGGCGGATCCACGCGCATTCCCAAGGTGCAGAGCCTGCTGCAGGAGTTCTTCCACGGCAAGAGCCTCAACCTATCCATTAACCCGGACGAGGCGGTAGCCTACGGAGCGGCAGTTCAGGCAGCAATCCTCAGCGGAGATCAGAGCGGCAAAATCCAGGACGTGCTGCTGGTGGACGTGGCTCCGCTGTCACTCGGTATAGAGACCGCTGGCGGGGTGATGACCAAGCTAATCGAGCGCAACTGCCGCATCCCGTGCAAGCAGACCAAGACGTTCTCGACGTACTCGGACAACCAGCCCGGAGTCTCTATTCAGGTGTTCGAGGGAGAACGGGCGATGACCAAGGACAACAATGCACTGGGCACCTTTGATCTGTCCGGCATTCCACCAGCGCCAAGAGGCGTGCCCCAGATAGAGGTCACCTTCGACATGGACGCCAATGGAATCCTGAACGTCGCAGCCAAGGAGATGAGCACGGGCAAGGCCAAGAACATCACCATCAAAAACGACAAGGGACGCCTTTCGCAGGCCGAGATTGACCGCATGGTGAACGAGTCTGAGAAGTACGCCGATGAAGACGAGAAACAGCGCCAGCGCATAACCTCTCGAAATGCCCTGGAGAGTTACGTCTTCAACGTAAAGCAGGCGGTGGAGCAGGCAGCCGCTGGCAAACTAAACGAGGCCGACAAGAGCTCTGTCCTAGAAAAGTGCAACGAAATTATCCGGTGGCTGGACAACAATACCACCGCTGAGAAGGAGGAGTTCGATCACAAACTGGAGGACCTCACCCGCCACTGTTCTCCCATCATGACAAAGATGCATCAGCAGGCAGCGGGAGCGGGAGCAGCTGGCGGACCAGGTGCCAACTGCGGCCAGCAGGCCGGAGGGTTCGGCGGCTACTCTGGACCCACGGTCGAGGAGGTCGACTAAAGTCAAAGAAGTTAATTTTTGTTCATCAATGGGCTTATTTCTAATTTAATTTAAGTTTTTGAGACTGATAAGAATGTTTTGATTCAATGTTCTAAATGAAAATCATAGTATTAATAGAAAACCCCAGTCTTAAGTTAGCAATAAATTGTCATAGCAAAATGGAAAATAAATTATTTATTTTAAAAGTTAATTAAAAATCCAAAATTTTATTATGTCTTAAATTTTTTCGTACACATTACCGCTATAGTTTATTTTTAATTGGTTATTTAAATCGTAAATACTACAAAGATATATTTTGTACAAAAGGGATCGACAATGTTAATAAAATTAATATTTACAAATCTTTCCATTTATCTATCTGAACGACAATACATTCCTACTATTTATAAAATGTAATAATTAATAATAATTTGTATATCGAAAAATATTTCTTATGTAAATTATTTATATAAATTATTTTTATAAATATAAATAATTTAAAGAAAAAATATACAGTTTCTTGAGAATTCGAGGAAAAGTCAAAAGGTTTATAATATTTATAAACTTTATTATTTGATCTGATTATGTTTATAACATATATTTTTCTTGTTTAAAAAAAACATCCTTTTAAATTATTGGAGCTAATGCTCCTATATTTTAATTAGCATTAGTTTTTATTTAAATAAATAAAGATTTCCTTAAACTAACTAAAGCTAGACTTACAAAAAAACGAATTTCACTTAAACTTAAATGCAAGTTCCTATTTATTTTTATGTTGTGACTAACTTTTGTCCCTTATTGTACTCCAAGCGTTTTTTGCTTTTCTCCGAAGGGATCTCCGTAGTGCCTTCCGATCTCATAATGGCTCATTTTATTGCGATGGATGGTCAGAAGGGCACCGCTTTTAAAGTTCTGTTCACAGACACCGCACCTGTAAGCCGTGCCAGGGAGTTCCGGTTTGAGTAGCAATTCGTTTCTAGGCTCCTGGCGGTCCCCGGGATCACGCTGCATGCGCATGCGCTCAATATCCTCCGCCCGTCGCTGATTGACCCTTGCGTTTACATAGGGATCCACAGGGAGGTCACCCTTGGCGGCGTTGTCCGGGTTCACTGCCTTCTGGTGTCCCTTTTGGTTACGGTGGATATTCAGTAGTGAGCCACAGACGAAGCTGTCCCCGCACACTCCACACTGATACGGCCGTTCGCCAGTGTGTCGGCGCATATGGATCTTCAGGTCGTTGGATTGCACAAAGCTCTTGCTGCACTTGTCGCAAGAGTATGGTCGCTGACCCGTGTGCAGCCGCATGTGCCGCGCCAGTTTGTTCTGCGAAATAAACTTTTTGGAGCAGATCTTGCACTCACTAGGACGCTCGCCCGTGTGCTGGCGCAAATGCAGGCTGAGATCTTGGCTGCGGGGAAAGGCCTTCTCACACTGGTCGCACTTGTAAGGGTTGTCGCCGGTGTGCCTGCGAATGTGGATGGTGAGGCTGGACATGGGGAAGCTGAGGCCACAGTAAGGACAGTCTTGCCGCTTGGTGATCCGTTTCCGGGCGGAATTTTCAGGAGTTTCGCCAGTTTCCAAGGCTGGCGCGTCGGGGTGAAACGCCTGCATATGACGCCGGAGGGTGTCCTGGCGCTTGAATGTTCGCGGACAGTGTTCACAGGTCAGCAGACCGGTGCCGCTGCTTTCGGTGGCCAGCTGGAGAGCCGCCACGCCCGCCGCCATCCTGTGGGCATGTGAAAAGTGCCGGGACAGGGATTCGTCTTTGGCAAAGACTCTCGGGCAAATGGCGCACTTGTAGATGAAGTTGTCGGAGTGCGTGAGACGGCTGCCGAGCTGTGAAGGCCGCAGATGGAGTGATTCCATATTTACAGGTTCTTCAGGCAGCATATTCAGTTTTGTAGGCTCCTCTGCATCCTCCTCTTGATCACCGTCGGCATACAGCGGCTCTTCCGCCTCAGCTCTAAATTCTAAGGGAGTGGCCTGGTCTCTCAATGCTTCCTCGACTTCCAAGTGCTGTTCTTCGTAAGAGACGGGCAGGAAACTATCCATATCAACTACATCCTCCTGGCCCACCAGCTCCACCACCTCCACATGGCTTTCCTCCGGCTTAACTGCATCCGATTGTTGGTACAGATTCTGCAAAGTCTGCTGAGCGTTTTCCATCTCCAGGATGAACTCGTAAGCGCTGATCAGCCGCCGCGTGCAGTTTTGGCACAGCTGCATCGGCAGATTCGGATCTGTCCAGGAGTACTGATTAAAAGATGAAGGAATTACGGCCAATATTCCATTGCTAATATTGTTTAAATTATCTCTTACCTTTACTTTCGAAACGGATTCCAATAGCTCCCAGAGCTCCATGTTCAGGTCGTTGTACTCGATCTCATCGCGGAGGCACAAAGTGGTCTCGTGGGTCTCCAAGCACACGCGGCATGTTTGCGAGTTTATATTAACGTGAATATCGGCTAAGTCCATGATTTCGCATCATAAAACAAATCAGATCAAATCAACAAGCAAATTTGTTGACAACAGCTGGCCATTAGAGATGGCCGTTTGGTCACAGCTGTTTCCGGTCGAAGACAATTAGTAGGTTTATGCGCCAGCTGTTTGCAAAATACTATTTAATCTTCTGGCACTGTAAAAACGATATTTTTATTTATTATATTTATATATTTGCAATTATGGCGGCCTATAAGAAAATAGTTCGTAGTTTTTGAAGCTGTATTTACCCAACAATATAAAACATAATTAATATGTCAACATTAATAAAAGCTAAACATTTTGTGTTTGTAAGCAATTTTGTGTCTATAATATGACAAATTTGAATGGTGAACGTCAAATTCCGAACAATTTCTGATACAACCGTTTCAAAAATGAAGTGCTAAATGAATACAATTTGTGATTGCACTACAACACTGAAAAGTCACGGGGTCCATTCCCTAACCGATACTTTCGTTCTTTTGCCATTCTCCCAAGCACGCACACACCCGCTTCACAATTCAAACGAACGGCATTTTATTTTCACAGGACCCGGGAATCGTGAATGTTTTACCCAATAGTGAAGTTTTACCCTTAATATCTGACCAAAATCTGTTAGTCGTTGAGTGCTTGTGCCGTCATGTCCCATCCATCCGACCATGTGCTGCGTTCCAAGGAAAATGCGCCGACTAGGAAGCTGGAAACATCCGCCGCCGTCCTCAACTTGCAGAAGAAAAACTTGCTTTTGGGAATGAAGGTAAGTTGGTCTCAGTAGACTAAACAGCAGCTAAAATACCCCAGATATAATGCCGACTTGCAGCCTACCAGCGAAAACATGGCTCCAGCTGGCAAGCCGTTTCCGGGATCTTCTGGAACTGTGATCAGGAATGCTACGGCTGCCATGCGTCCGCCCAATAAACTCGGGCCAGGAGCCTCCACTTCTGCAGCACCTTCCGCAGAAAGCAAGTTCCCAAAACCACTAATGCCACCTGTGAAGAAGGCCACATCGGAGTTTGTGGCACCAGCTCCACCCATTAAGAAGCCGGAAGTAGTCACGAAACAGAAACACCCAGCTTCAGGATCAGCATCCTCAATAGAATCTAGTGCGCCAGTGGCCAGCAACTCGGGCACCTCTGCCGACAAAGAGAAAAGCAAGACTGGTGGGTATCAGCCAATTTTATACTTTTCCAATGACCAACTTCAATATAATCCCCTGCAGATACCCAGCCTCAAAAGCCCAAGAAGACCTGGGAGTTAAACAACTTTGATATAGGCCGCCTGCTGGGCCGCGGGAAGTTTGGAAATGTTTATCTGGCGCGCGAAAAAGAGTCCCAGTTCGTTGTAGCCTTAAAAGTACTGTTCAAGCGCCAGATAGGCGAGTCGAATGTGGAGCACCAGGTGCGCCGAGAGATCGAAATACAGTCGCACCTGCGCCACCCGCACATCCTGCGTCTCTACGCCTATTTCCACGACGATGTGCGCATATATCTGATCCTGGAATACGCGCCTCAAGGAACCCTATTCAATGCTCTGCAGGCACAGCCTCTAAAGCGTTTCGATGAGCGTCAGTCGGCTACCTACATCCAGGCGCTCTGCTCGGCGCTGCTTTACCTGCACGAGCGGGACATCATCCACAGGGATATTAAGCCGGAAAACCTACTACTCGGCCATAAGGGTGTCCTGAAGATCGCAGACTTCGGCTGGTCTGTGCACGAGCCCAACTCAATGCGCATGACGCTGTGCGGCACTGTGGATTACCTACCTCCGGAGATGGTTCAGGGCAAGCCGCACACCAAAAACGTGGATCTCTGGAGCCTGGGTGTGCTCTGCTTCGAACTGTTGGTGGGCCATGCCCCCTTCTTCTCGACGAACTACGACGAGACCTACAAAAAAATCCTAAAGGTGGAATACAAGTTGCCGGAGCACATATCCAAGGCAGCCGCACACCTAATTTCCAAGCTTTTGGTCCTTAATCCCCAGCACCGTTTGCCGCTGGATCAGGTGATGGTGCACCCCTGGATCGCGGCACACACGCAGTGAACCCATCCGTTTTTCATTTTGAGTTATTTCCTTTTAATTTACAGTTTTAGTTAAGGCTCGCCGCGTAATTTAATTATGGCATCGTAAATTTTCATTTAGCCAGATTCGAGAAATTAACATTTATGCATTAAGTTTATTATTATCATTACCAATAAAGTTTGTGTGTGTTTTCGAATGCTAGGCGAATGTGTCGGTGTGTACATTCCTATCTTATGTGGCTACCTAATCTCTAGCGAAATGAGTTGACGGAATTCGAATGCAAATGCGAAATGTTGAGGCAGCGACAAAAACACAGGCAACATTGCCCAAATACAGTGAGCGAGTTATTTTTATCACAGAGAACCAAGTACAAGGAAATATTGTACGCAGATGGAAAGCGCAAGAGTGTATTTTTGAGATAGGGGACATTTTTCATGATATGGTGGTGGACTTAGCAGCGGAAGCGGGTATAATAATCTTTGCGACAAATATTATGTAAAGCTGCCCGGACCAGTCTTACTTTTAAATCGATTTGCGGTCAAACATTGAACTGTCTGCCTCCAATCTCATTTCCATTTCAGAGTATTGTATATCCTGCGAGTTTTAATTTTTTTGTCATTTGCTATTACGTTGAATTTTACTTATAAACTAAGTAGCTTAGGGCGTGCTCACCCCAGAATAGATTTAGATTAATAATCTTCAATTATTATACAAATTCATTAATTGGCTTGCTGAATTCCGTATCATCTTCGACCAATTTGGATCCCTAAAATGGATGCGTGAGCACTGATTTAATATAAAGGGTTTTCAAAGCCTTTGCACACACGCCGCTTAATATTCATAGAAAATTCGTTTACTTAATGTCTAATAACCTCGCCTCCCTTCTTGCGCGCCGCCACATTGGAGTAATCGTCCTCTGCAATTAAAGTCAAAGTTTAATGAAAGTTGGAACTTAAAGTGGTAAATCAACTCCAACTACTCACCATCTTGATCTTCATCCATGCCATCTTCCAGGTGAATGCCTTCAGCAAATTCTTTGCCCTGGTCGGCTACGATTTCGTTGTTCAGATTGTCTGTATCAAGCAGATGCTGCGGCTGCTTCACGGCTACATCGCCCACATCATCGTCATCGTCTCCCTCACCACCTCCGGCAGCGCCGGCTGCGTCGGCGATCTGCTTAGCCGGCTCATCGGGCACAGGTCCGGGACCGGGAGCCGGCAATTCGCCATCAAAGAAGTTCTGACCGCCACCAGCTGCTGGTAAATTAAAGCTGGGTTCATTCAAAGCGTCCTTAACCTCGTGGGCACCGGAATCCTCGTTGGGTTTTGGCGCAACTCCCAGATTCTTGTTGTTTTCCAGGTCATTGACGGCGTTTGCATAACGATTGTTGTTTTCGTTCTTGGGCATCTCCTCAGCGGCGGTGTCCACATCGACTGCGTCGCCCTTGGCGTCCGCCTTATCCTCAAAGTTGTCGGGAATGGGAGCTACGTTTTCGGGAAGTTTGCGTTCCTGCTTGGCCGGCGGTACGGCCAAAGGTGGAAGGCCACTGCTACTAACCTTCGGGGCTACGGATGCGTTTGGAGCTTCGCCGGCATTCTTGGCGTCCACCCCGCTTTTCGAAGCCTGAGTGCTGCTCTTGCGGGGAGCGCTCAGGGGGGAAACTGGACCACCGGACAACTGCGGCTCTTCCTGCTGCTGCTTCTCATTGAGTGATTTTGGCACAATCTGAAAGTTTTCAACAGAATTTAATATGAGGCTGTGGTTGTTGCGAACGGCAAAGGGCAGAAGAGGCAGCTGCTGTCGCTGCTCCTGGGTTCCGTCACCATTACTCTTAATTGAGGAGTTAGTAGATGCTTTTGTTAGGTTTTGGTTTGAGTTAGTTGTTGGCAGATTTACCCCACCGCCGATCCTGTAGAGGCCTTCACTCACTTGCACTTGGGCATCGAAGGACTTCTCGTTGCGCGGCTTTTCAATACTGTGCGCCAGCTGAGCGGGATTAGAGTGGCGAGTAGTGGGCATCTGCTCGGCGGGCTTATTCAGTTGCTGCTGGTGCTCATGGGCCGGAGCCTCGGCGGGCTGGACTTTGGGCACATAATTACAGTTGGTCTTGAATTCAGAGAGTGTAGCCTCCAGGGCGTGTATCTTGTGCTCCCCATCGCGCTTAAGTTTGTCCAGTTTTTCCTGGAGAAGCAGAAGGTAAAATTAAGATACATTCAAGCGGCCAATAAAAAATATTACCTTCCAGGCAGCCACCTCGTGCTCCTTGTTGGCCTTGTCCTTGTGCACATCGGCCAGGACCTTCTGCAGCTTCTGGTCAAATGCATTGGTGTCCTCGATATGTTTCTTTTTGCTCTTAAGGCACTCAGCTTCCAGGTCGGAAAACTTGAACTCAAGCAGCTTGTACTTCTCTACCTGAGCGTCAAACTTCTCCTGGAGGGCGCGCTCGGTCTCCTGCTGCTTTTGCACCGCTTCCGACAGCTGATTCTCATACTTTTCTTGAAGACTCATCTTCTCTGTGCGCAGTAGGCTCATCCTCTTCTCGGCAGTCTCTTTCTCGGCATTTAGCGCTGCAATATCATACGTGGGTTTAATAGAAAATGGATCTTAAATAAAACTCACATTGCATCTGGACACTAAGGCCCTCTTGGAAGGCGCGGCTCTCGTCCAATTGGTGCTGAGACATTTGGTAGATCACTATCATCATGATGAGCACGATGAACATGCTCATCAGAATGCAGATGCGGACGCGCCCGGAACGCGCGAAACGAGCCGAACTCATTTTCCACTCTATTTAAGCTAGTAAATTGCCAAATTACACCTTTTTTATGCACGAAAAACTCGCAGCGAAAAAGTTCTAGGTGTTGCAAAATTCTTTTGTTGTGCTTATGTGGGAGTGTTGAATAATTCCGAAGGGCGTTTATTGGAGATGGGTGGAAGCTATCGATGCAATAAGCAACCAGTATTTGAACACTACACTTTTTTTTAAATTTAACGATTTGAGGAGAAAGGATTTTATTTTAATTGTTGTAACAAGTTGCGTTATGCAAAACTACTTTCAAAGGACTTAATAAGATAATAGTTTAAGACAATAATTGATAAGGTTGGGTCAAAGTTATAGGTACGATTTTACAACAGTACGTGTTTAAGCCTTAAATTATATTTGAATGAATAAACTATATATAACATCTTCGAAAGCTTTTAACATTTTCGGTCTCCGATTTCATAAATGTTATGTCAAATCAAAAAAAATTCCTCCTCATACAATATTTTTTTTCGGAGAGATTAAAATTTAATTGAGATATCTTTTGATTGTTATGTTTGAAAATTCTATTAATGAATATTTATGTTTAAAATAATGGTTAATTCATTAAGCGTGACCAGCTACAATTCAGCTTGGCCATATCTATGATAGCTGATTTCGGTATAATTTTTGAGCGGACGGTATATTTAAAAGGTACCGCCAGGGTCACTCAGTAGACGACCAAACGACGGCGACGCGCGAAGAGAATATCAATAAATAGTTTTAATTTAGTTTAATTCCCCGTAAATAAATTAGTTCGCCCGGGGCTACCGTTAAGTTTAAAGAAACCAAGTCAATTAATCGAGCTTTGCGCCAACTAGTGAAAAGTGAGTTGAATTGCGAGGGCGGTGGGTTTTTTTCGGTGAGGGGCAAGGGAAGAGGATTTTATTTAAACAATTAATGGACTGCGAGAGAAATATACATGCAAACGCATAGCTATCGGGAGAGTGTGGCAATCAATTCAATTTAATAAAGGTGCCCAAGCCTGGTGGTAAACACGTAAAATTACGTAAAATTCAGCACAAGTGGTTGCTGCTCCAGTGTTCCCGATAATAAGTGTGCCTTCAATTGTTATAATCTAGAATCGAAGGGGCGTTTCACCTGTCCGAAAGGTAAAACACGCGGTGCTCAAGAAAAACTCGCCATAAACTGTCGAGCCCCTCGGCCCGAATTCTCGTCCATTTGGGCAATAATCAATAACTCGACTGCCATTTACCTTTGATGCCGCAATCTAAAATGGTTTAATAATACTTTTTTTATCGTCAAAAGCTCATAACACTTTATGGCATATGTGGTGTTTTTATCTTAACTATCAAAAAGGGGAACTTTGATATCTTTATGCTTGAAAAATTCAGCCAAAAAAGAGAAAAGATAAGAAAGTCTGACGTTCTTATCGTCTGCTCAATGCGGATAACCCGTTATTCGGCCTTGCCAGTCAAGCATACTACTATGTATATACATACATACATAGTTAATGCCACCGAAATTTGATCAACTTTTTCGTTTCGCACATTGTAAGTGTGCTAATGAAGCAATTCCAATATTTATTTATTTGCGAGTGCAGGCTAATGGAACCCTGTTTATATGCTGCTAATCTCCGTGGGGCCGCTCGACCATGTCAACAAACTTCGGATCCCATTCCCCGCTTATCACCAACCTATATTAAGTACCCCTATATTAAATACCCCCAACAACTTTATCAGTTGTTTAACATTCATTATTATTTATTGTTTAATGGGGATAATATTCAAATATTGCACTTATAATTTATATTTTTGTTTTTTTTTTTTTTTTTAATTATAAACAAACCAGTTTGAACCAATTTTTAACATATTTATATATATATATATATTTATCCATATATCTTATAAGTTTAATGTGTGTATGTTTTTCACAGAATGTCGGGCAGTGAAACCAACAAAACACCGCTGCAGCAGCCAGAGCACCAGCAATTCGCGTAAGTTATCAATAAACATTTCAATTAGCCTGTGTAATGTAATCACATCGGAAAACAAAGAATATTTGTTTTGACAAATATATTTTTGCACGGTTAAACAAAAACAACAGCGGTAAATTAAAATTATATAGCTAGCTCGTTTCTGACAGTATTTAAAAAGCTGATAGGGTTTTTAAATAGCAGCCTAAGCTTAGAGTTTTTACAGTAGTTTATACAGTAGTTTCCGTTTAAATGTATTTTAAAAGAGGGTTTTGAAAACACAAACAAATTATGCACTCTACACTCTGTTTTATTTAATAATTATTTTAATTCATAGTAAAGTCAATGAAAAGTCTTCAACGATATGAAAAAATAAACTATTTAATTATTTTATTTATTAAACCACATACAAAATAATAGTTATATAATTGGTGTCATTGAGAAGTCGCCCTATTTATGGCACTATTATATCTCAAGAGATACTCTTAACTGATGTTCACTGTATTTGTGTTTATCATCGTTAAAGACTCATCACATGAATAGACATTTATACACATTTCATTTTGAAGTTCCCCGTTTAGTTTCAATAAATTTAGGACAAACCAATAGACAAGGATAGTGATACAATGACATAATATGATTGCATTTTGCATTTTGTTTTGTTCTTAATACTGTTATGAAAATGCAAGCCGAAAATAGACCCAAGCTAAGTCTAGATATATTCAGTCGTACACTGTGTATTTTTTTGGCGGACCTCCAAATATTTCTTGCTTATTAACGCGCAACCCATTTGACCTTTCTTTTGCCCCAATTGATAGCCCAAATGCGTTATCTTAGGACGGGTAATGGGAATGGGAAGCAATATGTGGGCCAAGTTCAAAGCCAATACGACAATTGTTTACATTTTGTTGTTGCCGCTACACATGCAAGCCGAATGCAAAGTTAACGCAGTGCAAATATTTGTCAATTAGCCAAGCGTAATGGATACCGACTAAACAGTGCCCTGTTTTGTCTTTTTAATTGCAGACTGCTGCCGAAGATCATCAACGGCGGAATCGCGGGCATCATTGGCGTAACATGTGTCTTCCCACTGGATTTGGTCAAGACGAGGCTGCAGAACCAGCAGGTCGGACCCAATGGCGAACGCATGTACAACAGCATGTAAGTACAAACTAACAATTATCCTATATATCTCAAGGACCGATTTTAAAAACCTTAATACCGGTCAATGTCGGAATAAAATCATTCTTTAAAATATTGAAATTGAATTAATTTCAAAAGTAAGTCAAGTAGTCATAAAAAAGTATTACTTTTTCGAACATCTATCTGTAAAAATATAATACAGGTGGTTTCCTGAATTTATAAAATAAAACTTAATTATTTTAAGTCTTTTCAGGAAATGAATTGATGAATTAAAATTAAACGGAATAACTGAGTAATAATAATTGCAAAACAAATTGAAATATCTAGACTACTTAATAATTCTTATATGTTACCTTTCAGGTTCGATTGCTTCCGCAAGACGTACAAGGCTGAAGGATACTTTGGCATGTACCGGGGCTCTGGAGTGAACATCCTGCTAATCACCCCTGAGAAGGCCATCAAATTGACCGCCAATGACTTCTTCCGCCACAAGCTGACCACCAAGGATGGCAAACTTCCGCTGACCAGTCAGATGGTTGCCGGTGGCTTGGCCGGTGCATTCCAGATAATCGTCACTACACCCATGGAGCTGCTCAAGATCCAGATGCAGGACGCGGGACGAGTGGCGGCGGCAGCTAAATTGGCCGGCAAAACGGTGGAGAAGGTATCGGCCACTCAGCTGGCCTCACAGTTGATCCGGGATAAGGGCATCTTCGGACTGTACAAGGGTATCGGAGCCACAGGACTGCGGGATGTCACCTTCTCAGTCATTTACTTCCCCCTCTTCGCTACGCTTAATGATCTGGGTCCCAGACGCAATGATGGTTCTGGAGAGGCCGTGTTCTGGTAAGATGTTCTATTAAAAATATCTTGAGATAATATTCGAATGCTTCCTATAAATTTATTCCAAGCGAATTCCACTAAAAAATAAAATATTGTTATCAAAAATCTTTTAATTTTGTGAAACGATTTTTAAAAACAAACCAAAGTGTTGGGCTTGATAATATGTTTCCAAATTCTTAGTAAATTTACTTCAAGATACATCAAAGCCTTTTTAAAACCAACTGATCGATCATTGACACTCTTTTTCTTGAAATTATTTAGTTTAGCCTAGGAAATTATTGATTTTCCGTTAATGTTAAGAATCCATGCACATATATTTAAAATATTTAACCATTTACATTTGCTATATTTATTATTGTCTGTCCCCTGCAGGTGCTCCTTCCTAGCCGGTTTGGCGGCAGGTTCCACCGCTGCACTCGCGGTTAATCCATTCGATGTGGTCAAGACGCGTCTGCAGGCGATTAAGAAGGCTGACGGAGAGAAGGAGTTCAAAGGCATATCTGATTGCATCACGTGAGTGCTAAAAATGTTGTTAAATACAGTCATCCTCCAGTTAATCACTGTCCAATCTGTTATAGTAAGACGCTCAAGCACGAGGGACCCACCGCTTTCTTCAAGGGCGGTCTGTGCCGAATGATTGTGATTGCTCCTCTGTTCGGAATCGCTCAGACGGTTTACTTCCTGGGCGTAGCCGAGGGTCTGCTGGGCTTGCAGAAAAAGTAGGGGGAAATGGGATAAATACTCGCCAAGGCGGATTGACAAGACCGACGCATTTTAAGTCTACTCTCTGAATATTGAATGTATGTATATCGTGTTTAAATGTTGTTAAAGCTGTCCATGAATGTAATCGTGAAGTCTCTATAGTAAGCTAAAGTAATCGAGCGTCGTGCTAGCCAGTCAAGTACCAAATGCAGTTGTTAAAGTTTTCCCCAGTCCCATTAATCAATATATACCATGTATTTAGGCCATGGCAGAACACAACTGACGCTCCAATGACAATAAGATATATCAAGATCAACGTTAATACTATGACATGTTTGGTTTTATATCATAGTTTATAACTGTTGTGTTTGGACACTCTCTATTTAAACTTGTTTTCCGAGCAATCCCCAGCTAGCCATGAACATTTGCCTCAAATTGTATTAGTAATGCATTTTCCTTTGCTGAAAGGCGAAAGTTTAACTTTTAGTAGCATTCTAGAACATGACTAGAGCAATTGTATGCTTTTTGATAGGCGTCAAAAATGAACAAACGAAATAAATACTATATTATATAAATTCAAGTTATCAATGTTGTTGTTGGCTTTTCTTTAGCCAAAGAATATAATGTTGGTTAAGATTGAACAAAAAAAGCCGGCGCAGTTTAAGTAAGGCGATTACCAAACCAATCTACTGATACTAGGATATATCCTAATGGCCTATTCGCAGTGTTTTGCCAAAAATTATAAATGGTGGCATTGCTGGAATTATCGGCGTGACATGCGTCTATCCGCTGGATTTGGTCAAGACGCGACTGCAAAACCAGCATATTGGACCCAATGGCGAGCGCATGTACACCAGCATGTGAGTGGCTTTTGGCCGGTGATTGCTGTTTCATCAACATGGTGGATTATTCTCCTTCCGCAGCGCCGACTGTTTCCGTAAAACGATCGCCAGCGAAGGATTTTTTGGTATGTACCGAGGCTCCGCGGTGAATATCCTGCTGATCACGCCCGAAAAGGCCATTAAATTGACGGCCAACGACTACTTCCGCTACCAGTTAGCCACCGAAGAGGGGGTTCTCTCGCTGCCGCGGGCAGCATTGGCCGGTGGGTTGGCGGGTCTGTTCCAGATCGTGGTCACCACTCCCATGGAGTTGCTTAAAATCCAGATGCAGGACGCTGGGCGCGTGGCCAGTGCCGCCAGAGCAGAAGGACGAGAGGTGACACAGTTAACGGCCATGGGCCTGACCAAGCAGCTCCTGCGTGAGCGGGGCATCCTGGGGCTGTACAAGGGAGTGGGCGCCACCGGGGTACGGGACATCACCTTCTCGGTCGTTTACTTTCCGCTGATGGCCACCATAAACAACAAGGGGCCACGCAAGACTGACGGTTCTGGCGAGGCGGTCTTCTACTGGTCCCTCATGGCCGGACTACTGGCCGGGATGACGGCCGCCTTCCTGGTCACTCCGCTGGATGTGATCAAGACCCGGCTGCAGGCCGATGCCGAAAAGCAGTTCAACGGCATTGCGGACTGTGTGGGAAAGACCCTTAAGAACGAGGGTATAACGGCATTCTTTAAGGGAGGACTCTGTCGAATGATGGTGGTGGCTCCCCTATTTGGGATCGCCCAAATGTTCTACTTTTTGGGCGTGGGCGAGAAGATGTTGGGTATCGAGCAAAAGAAATCAGTGTAGTATGAGTTTCGAAGAGCATTTTCAAAAGATCCTGTATTGTTTTACACTTTTTATAACACTTTCTAGAAGTTTTGGTGAGGTTCCATCTAATTGTCTGATAATTAAATTTGTACGTCACGGCAATTATCTTGAAATCTTTTAAGAATTTATAAGTATTAAATCTATAATATTAAAATCAAACTTTACTGCTTACAAATATAAATGTATGTTAGTAATAATTGCAACCTAAGGCTCGCAAATGCAAACAATTTAAAAAACTCCAAATCGAACTGAAGTAACATTTTATGTGTGTAGTTTCTAATTGCATTTACATATTAAACTTTTATAATCGATAAGTAATTTTCAAGAATCAGCCCAAGGTTGATTTCCAGCCCATCTCTCTTATCACAATCGCACTCAGGACTTCTTTCACTTCCGTTTTCCCTGGTTTCTTTAAATTACATCTGCTGGTCGGCTATTCGGCGCAGCTGCGTTCTCCGAACCTAAGTCAACGTAACGCGCATTGTACCAACGGTTCACTGCAGCTCGATACAGGTCCAGAAAGAGGGCCTGCCGGTAGAGGAGGATGCCCATCTGCAGGATGATGAAGCCCAAGACAGTGACGAGATTCATGTACTCCCATTCCATGACAATCACGAAGATCCAGATAAAGTATATGCGTAGTCCATCAGCAAGCAAGCGGTTGGCGCTATACGAAAACGTCACAATAAAAAGGCCGATAAAGTTATACAGGGCACATGAGACGGTGAAGCCGATCAGGGCTATAATCAAATCGGGATTACCCCGCAGACCCGCCAGAAGATCGCTCCAATCGTCGAAAACAGCACGTGAACTCTCGTTAAAGGGATTCACGCTTGGCAAGAAGTGCATACAAATGGCGAGCAGCGAGGTAATAACCATTCCGAAGATTCCCTGCCAACCCGCTGCTTGCAATGGAGTCACATTAGAGGTTTTGAGCTGTTTCTCCTCGTAAACATACTGTAGACCGTGCAAAATCTCGGCTATTATGATGAGCAGGTCTCCGGTCAGGATCGATTTGTGGTCTGTGTACGGCAAGGTGACTTGGTCATATTCCACGCGGTGCACGTCCAAGGTGATGATGTCCAACAGGCCGCAGGAGATGGAGACGAAGGCCATCCAGTGGCGACTGGTGAGCGTGTGGTTCAGAAATATGGTGCTGAAGATGCCCACAAAGATCAGGGCGGCGGCTACAGAGACGATGAGTCAACGCTAGACAAGATAAGCAATTCTGGCGGATAGACGTACCCCTTATTATTTGAAAGCTGGTGGCGTAAGTCAAGTAAAGTCCGGTGAAAAGCAGAATGGAGGCCACCGCATCCAGCACGGTGGGCAGGAGCATGCTCAGGGGGCTGAATTCGCTGCGGTCCTGGGTCAGGATGCTGTCCAGATCGGCAATCGGCTGTGGATTGCAAGAACGTCATGTTTATATTTACATTCTTAAATTGCTTAAGGTCTTACAAGATTTTTACAGGCTCTCTAAAAACAAAAGCTTTGTATATGTATATATACTGTACTATATATACTGAACAAAAATATAATATAAAACACTAAATTTTAAAGATATTGTGCAATTTTTTTTTAAATTTGTTAAAAAGTCAATTGGGATTTTAATTTAAAGTTAAGTTTAAGTTGTTGTTTCAAAAATAATTGAAAATAAGAAGGAAAATTTAAAAAAAATTCATTTTTGAAGTTTCCTATAATTTTTACAATTGTAAAACACATGTAAAGAATCCCTTAAGCTTGTCGGTAAGCGGCTTTTGCAACCGCCTTTGATCAGTTCTTACGCCACGCCAGCTGGAGATCAGGCGGATCAGCTTGAAGACCAAGAAGCACAGGAACTCGCCCAGGAACATGAGAAGGGTGAAAACCACCGGATGGTGGAAGTGATGCAGTTTTTCATCGCTGCCAATCACTTGCTGTTGATTCGCCCACCTGCAACACGCACGCACACAATCGAATGCATATTTGTTTAGATGTTTTTTTATGACTATTATTAAATAGATTTTCGGTTCTTACTTCACCACCAGAACATTGAAGGTGCCGCTGAGAACAAAGATCAGCATCAGAAGAACCCGGTGATCCATTCTGCGGTGGAAAATAATCTTTCTGCAGCGCACGCTAATTCGATTTACAAATATTGACGTTCTTTGTGCAATTCGCAATTGTGACTGCGCAGTGATAAGTGGAAAAGAGTGCGGCCAGATAGAATATCTGATTGCCCTTTAATATTATATACTTCAGTGGCTATAGCCACGTAACTATAATTCCGTATTCTCAAGGTTATTAAAATAACCAGCAATTTGTGCGTTTTTCTTTGTTTTTACGGTACTTTTGCTAAATGTTTTTATTGTCAACAGTGTGACCGCGTATCAGACCAAACATTCGGCGATATAAATACCAAACTGTCGATTAAATTATAATTTTAGCTGGTCATACACATTAACAGCTTTTTAAAATTGTAGGCATTTTAAAATCATTTTAGTAGTTTTTAATTGGGGTAAGATCATTTTAAAAGTAGTTGTTTTTATTTATTTTAGTTTTGAAAATAATAATGGCTTGAGATATATATTTATTTTGTTAACATAGTTTTTAATTATTTGTTGTGTCACTTTATTCGAGGATCATTTAATAATTATTTCTTTTTATTGGTTTAGCATTGTGATTGATGGTGTCGTTTAGGAAAATCTTTCAATAATTCAAAATTTGATACCTTTATATTATATATATAATTATTTTTGGAAGAATACCATCTTTTATCGAATAAATACTGAGCTTTAAATATTGCTTTATCTATTATTAATCTATTATTGATAAAGAAAATGAGAGAAATGTATTTTTGCAAAGTTTTTATTAAACTCAAACTTAAAAAATATCACAGGATATGAAAAACCATTTAAATGAAAATACATGAAGTGGTGTTAGTGCATTTGTCGCCCAATTGCCATCAATTTGTCTGCGTTGGCGCTTGTGTCGCGTTCTGTGCTATTTTCCTGTAAATAAGTTAAGAACATTGTATAGTACAAACTCGTAAAGGGTATTTCAAGCGGTCATTAACAAGCCAAAACACAAATGGCAACAAAAAGCGTGTCCTTCCGTCTCACCTGTAATCTGGAGTGTTTTTCAAGTGTTGTGATTGTGTTTAAGGGTATCTTGTTTCCTATTACATATATTGTTGTGTCGTGCAATGTGGGTGTTCCTAGAGCTCGTCTCGGGATTGGGAGGACGATGGCAGCGTCACCTCCTCGACGGAGCCCAGGTGTATGGTTCTATTTGGCCGGCTGAACTTTGGTATGTATGCGACCGAGTCGCTGTTGCTGACCACCGAGTTGTGTAGATGTTCCGTGGGTGCCGCGGGATCGGGACTAGTGAGTGTGATTTTGGAGCCAGTGGCCACTCTGTGGAATGTATGTACGTTGGTATTGTTTGAAGGCTGCGGTCAAAATAATATGCCTAAAGAATTTGCGAGGAAGTCTTGCAATTTTCCAAAAAATAATTGCTTATAAAAAACTAGTGACACCAGGTTATAGACCTGCTACAAAATATGTTAATGGTCCGATTTGTCGACTTTGTATATTAAACAAGATAATACCCCAACAAAATGGTAGAGACCATAGAATTTTGAGTGCCATAACAAAGGTTATCTGACTAGTTTTTTCCCCTTATTTGAAAAATATTGTTTTTCTATGAGGTACTATTTTGACCACACCTGAATGTTTCCTAAATGTGTCAGCATTATATTCCAAAAATGGTTAGTATTGCGCTACTAGGTTTGTATTAGTTTTGGGTGGAGTAAAAAATGACTTCATCTCTGTTGTACCTTATGTACAGCTTTTGGAGGTGGTTGTAGTCGAAGAGGGAAGATCTGAGAGTGGTTGAAAGGTTTCTATTGACGCTGGCGGGCTCCACCGCGTGCTCCGCGCAATTTTTGTGGGTTTCTATTGCAGATCAGATCGTAATCAGAGATTCGGACTCAGTGCCGCCACCTTACCTGTCCCTGGCCTGCATGCTGGCCTCCACGTCCAGGCTGCGCGGTTGCCGGAAGTCGCACTCCAGCGAGAAGGCCGAGTCTCCGGGCGTGATCAGCTCGGGGTCGTTCTGGATCACCACGATGTTCGTGTAGAGGTCGCCGTCCCGCAGGGTCTGGCACTGGTCCAGCTGGAAGTTCATCTCCATGGAGCGGGATCCCTGGTTCGAAGAGGGCTTCATGAAGCACGGCGCCGTCTGCTTGTAGAAGCTGCCACGCGTGTACATGACCCCCGTGAACGGCTTTTCCGTCTCCAGCACCACGTTCATAGAGTCGGCTCCGCACTTCAGGTTCACCTTTTGAATGCCCTGGTCGCTGCCCTCGATTTTAAAGGTATCCGAAAGGTCTTGTTCCCAGATTTCTGTAATAGGGCAAGCAATGGTGTGATTTTGTTTTTCTGGTTGTTATCTAATAGATGCCCATACGCAAGCAGAATGTTTCATAGATTTTTTCAGAGACTCGCAGGATTTTATATTTTATACTTTTTAAACTTGTTCTTTAAATACTTGTTAAAAAGTATTTTCTTAAAGCCATTTACAAAAATCATTATTTAATTTATTATTGTTTTCCCAATAACAGGTAAAAATGGATAATTGTCTTGTAAAGCTTTTGGTTCAAGAAATAGCGAATATTTTAAAATTAATATACATACATATGTATAGAAACATGTTTTACAACTACACAAACTTCTAGATTAAACAGGGTATTTCAGAATATGGCCTAGCGAAATTCCTACCCTTAAATTTCAAAGGGATTTTCCAAGTTCTTGCTAAAAAGTATTGTAGAGTTATATAAATTGCTTAACAAAATATAATAATTGTTAAGATACAAATAAAAAGCTTTCGTACTTTACCATTTATTTATGTTTATTTTAAAATATAATAGAGGTCCCCCTAATATTAACATATTTAAAAAGTTTTTTATTTTTTGTTAAAAAAATGAATCAATTACTCTCCATTTCTTTGTTACCCGCTTTTGAAGATTTTTAACTTTCTTTAAAAAAAATATCCGTTACTTTTAGGTGAGCCTAAAATGTCTAGGCACTTTGCCCAACGAACCGATGAAGTTCACTCATCTCACCGGCATTATTGAGCTCTTGTAACCGGTTTCTGTTTATTTTGGTCTGGCTAGAACAAACCGCAGCAAAGGAACTTGGCATTGAAAATTTCTTTACCCAACCTGGATGAATCAGTCACAGTCTTCTTTTTAGTTGACCAGCCTCGACCAGCTTACCTTGGTTTTGGTGTTTCTGTTGTTTGTTGGCTGCCACGTAGACAGCCAGCAACAAGTTGCAAGCGAATAAAATAAGAATGCCATTCTGTAGTCCCGACATATTATTGCACTTTAGTATTATTTAACACAAAACGATTTGGATTTGTCGCGAATGCTGAGTTTCGTGGATGTCTTAACAGCTGCAAGCCAAGATTTAAACTGACGAAGCGACTGCGTCTGCGCAGCGCATATAAGCGCGACTCGAAAGCTCTGGTTTCCCAAACCAGAGAAAGAAAATCCGACAAAAAGAGGAACTTAAGAGAGAAAGAGGTTTGTCCAGCAAAGAGCGAGTGAGAATTTGGTCAATAGCTGAGCATAACCAATATTTAATTGTACTGCGCTTTTGATAAGGCGAAAATTTATTGGCATCGCCAAGTGGAAAACCGAAATAAATCCATAAAGAAAGAAAATCGAAACACTTAATACCCATTAAAACGGCTAATTTGTAAAACATAAACATAATAAGCAACTAAACTATGCAATAAAATAAGAGCTGAGATAAAAGTTGTTTAGAGCTGAATTAAAACGTTTTTCAAATGCCTCAAGTTCTCAATATTTTGGCTCAAAATTGACATTTTGTTTTCGCTCTTTTTTAAATATTTGTTATTTGTGGACGACCAGAATAAAATATAAAATGAAAACAAGCCTTCTTTTTGTCCTTCCCAAAATAATTTTGTACAGGATACCTTCTGCCAGGGTATCAATATTTATTTAAAGCGGCAGTTTAAGAAAAACAAAATGCGGCGTAGCGCCAAAGACATTTCCGCTTTTCGCGTGTGGCATGTGGATTTCTGCTGTGTGCATTCGTTTCGCATTTTTAGCGCTGCATTCAACCGATTTTTTGTTGGCGTTCATTATTCAAAATGTTATTAAACTTCCCCGTTTTTTGCGTCTGGCTCCGGCTCGATTCGGTTCTCCTTCATGCAACAAATTTAATAATTTGAGCGGTGGTTTTCGTCTTGAGTTGCCTTGTGGTTGTTAGTTTTCCACCTGCCTTTTGTTGTTATATACATCTTTTGTTTTTCGTTTATTGCGTTAATTAAAGTGTAATTAGTTAACGATTCGGGTTTGGCCATGCAAGCGAAAGGTGGAAGTGGCCATGTGCAATATTGCCCAAAAAATGCATTTACTTCGAGAGATTCGTGGAAACTCAGCTAAACATGATTAAGTTGTTATGCCGCCGTGTGATTGCGATTTTCATTGCTTGCTTTAAAAGCTTGTGGATTTAAAAAATTGTTATTCAATCTTATAACTTAATTAGGTTCAAACTCATATATTTTAAATTCACAATAACCATTTTATTAATTGTTTATTTGAAGTTGCGATATCACTCACAATATGAGAAATATCTACCAAAATGATCCCCATTCAAATCTTCAGCAATTGGTTGGGCTGCCAACATTTGATTAACTTAATAACAGGTGTCAAGTTAAGTTAGACATCAATTAATAATTAAAAGGTTAGTTTGGCGACAATGATATTTTTTAATCTTTAATGGTGTTTTGATCCAGTTGGCGTATATTAAAACAAAAGCTTCTGTGTAACTTACCTTTCCTACAATTTATGTCACCCTTTTCTGATGTTCTTTTGAAGTGCTCTTCACTTATCGGTTATTACTTATTGTTATTAGCTATCTGCAAATATTATCACCCCCTGATTAATTGGTTATCAATTTCGAGCTGCAAAATAAATTGATTTTTGGTTTTCAAGTTCATTTATAGGACACGGGCACTAAAAATCCATTCGAAAAGGTCACGCAGGGAAGACAACAATAATGCAAATTCCAGTTAAAGTCTTTATTCTTTCTCGTCCCGTTTTCCAGGTAATCCTCCTCGTTTACTTTTGCTTTATGGCTGCCCAATATCGCTCCAGTTCGTTGCCCTCCCAATCGAAAGGTTTGGTCAAAACACTGAAAATACGAAAAATTTACATAATGCCTTAATAGAGAGTATCGTGAAAATTAGCCAGCACATAAAGTGGGAAAAATGGATAAAAATCGCCGCACATATTCGTAATGCCCGTAAAGCACAAAACGGAGAAGGGGAGAGACCAACAAGTTCAACGGCGATTTGGGGGGATTTCGCGGGGAGTCCACTCAGTGGGAAGTGGCCAGTAATTGTTGCGGAGGGGGACAGGGAAGAGGTTGTCTGGTGCCTACTGCACCGATGGCCAAGATTGACAATGATCATGCACACACATATGGACAACTAACCGAGGAGTGGACCCCCAACCGCAGGGAAGTGGAAATGATGTAATGGTAACATTGTATCCGAGTTGCACAATTTTCGCTGTGCCGCTTTTGGCCAACTTCCGAGTCGCACACTCACTTTTCTTTCAGGTACTGCAGCACTTCCTGCTCCTTATCGTTGAGGCCCAGTTCGAAGGCCTCCAGGTTGATCCGCAGCAACTCCCTGCTCTGCATGCCCGTGAGGAAGGTGGTCACTCCGGGCAGTCCCTTCATCGTGTAGAACATGGCCAGCTTGCCCAGCTCCACCCCGCGCTCCTTGCAGATTTCCGATGCCTTTCGAGCAATGGCCTTCTGCTCGTCACTAGCCGGATGCCACGGCTGGGGTCCAGCGTTGGTTAGGAGCCCAAGGGCGTGGGCAGCGGCACAGATGACTCCGAGGTTCTGGGACTTGAAGAAGTCCAGGTACTCCAGGAGCGTTTCGTCGGTCAGGGTGTATCTGGCATATGTGAGAACCGTCTGGAAGAAACATTTGACATAACTATAGCTTCTCTATATTGTGGTTTAATAAAATTAAAATATTAAAATATGAATAATATTAAATGAATCATAATTTTGGATTTGCTTTCCCAAATTTTGGGTTGTCTTTTTAGGATTTAAAAATATTAGTTTACATTAAAAAAAAAAAAATATTTGCAATATTTTGACCTACATATATTGCATCATATCCGTCATGATTTGCAGTATCTATTGTATATCTACATTCATTAATAATGATTTATTCAGCCTCTTCAGTCTCTTTAAAATGGATTTGAAACACAAATTTTTTGTTAAAGACCTTTTGGAAATAGACCATAGCTACTCCTCTCTCTCTCTTAAAATTTATTATGAATTTCTTTATGGTGTTTATCTGTTTCCGATCAACTTACATCGAATCTTCCTGCCGCTCGGGTCAGGCACTCCTTAAGCACTGAAATCGGGTAAGCTGACACACCAATGAACCTGGCCTTGCCCTCCTTGACCAGTTGCTCCAGTGTGGGCAAGGTCTCGTTGATGACAATGTCCAAATCTTTGGCGAATTCGATGTCGTGAATCTGGATGACGTCCACGTAGTCCAGTTCCAGGAGTTTCAGACTCTTCTCCACGCTTTCGCGGGTTTTCTTGGCGCTGAAGTCAAACATGTTCTCATAGTCCAGTTCGTAGCGAGCCACTTTGGTGGCGATGTAGTAGGATTCCCGGGGCACTCCTTTCAGCGCCTGGCCAAGGACCTCTTCAGAGCGACCCTGACCGTACCATGGGGCCGTATCAATATAATTGATTCCCGACTTCAGGGCCTCATGCACAGTCTTGATGCCCTCTTCAAGTTCAAAGCTGTGTTATAAATGATATGAATTTTAGACATGTTCAAGTTCCATTAAAAGTTCAACATTTTTAAAGAAAAAAATAAATGTAAATTATATTTTTTTAGTATGAAATTGGTATCCTACGGAAATAGGTTATCCCAAATCATAGTTTAATAGAAAATTATTCGTATTAAAAATGATTAATTTTTATATTTTTACGTCATAAAGCTTTTAAATTGTTTGTTTTAATGCACTTCATTGAATTTAGTCCAACGCCCTTCAAGAAAATAAATAATTCTTTTTTCTGTGTAGTAGTAAAATTCAGCTGGAAAAGATTTCTCTTACCCGTAGTTGGCGCAGAGCGCACCGCCTCCGAATGAGACTTTCGAGACTTTCAGGCCGGTCTTTCCGAGATTGCGATATTCCATGCGACGCACCTTATCCTCATCGTGGAAACCCTTCACATAGGTGGTTGGTAATGTTCCAGACATTTTTGATAATCGCAATATATTTCGCACTCGGTTGAAATTCGATCGCTCGTCGGAGAAGTACTGGCAACAGATTGTCATATATTTAGCTTATATTCTGAAAATCAGAGATTGCCTCTTTATCGAAGAGAGACTAAGAACGAACTTAAACTGTGCCTTTGTATGTACATATATTAGGGTGGTCCAAAAACAAAAACATGTTTCGCCGTTAAATGAGGTTGATTTTTGTGTGCAATAACGGTATTCGAAAATTGTATTTAGATTTGTGGGGTTGCGCAATAGTCTCAAAGTTTCCGAAAAAATACCCATACGACACGCAATACCAGTTAGAATAAATTTGTTGAACAAAGGCAATTGTGCGAATGTATTTAAGGTCCAGCTACAGCAAAGCGCATAGTATAAGCGGATGAGAGTAGAAACTTTTAATTTAAATACAAATTCGGACCCTCCTAATGTCCATTGTATACATATGTAATACAGAAAAGGTTTTATAGAATTTATACAGATTATGTATTTATGTACACATGCAGCTAATATTGAAAACGAAGAGTGAAGTAAAAATAGCAAAAAGGGAATATTTTGAGAAGAGTAACTTAAAAGAGAGATTGGAAAGAATTTGAATTAAACAGTTATCGTGGCTTTCTCCTCTTAAACGCTCGGATTCTCTCATTGGAGGGTTTGTGTAAACATAAGCTGGATTACTTCCAATAAAGAAAAGTAAACAATTGCCCATATATAATATTTGGTTTGTTTATTTATACATGTGTGCTGTGCCTGCAATCATTTACTTCTTCCACTTATAGTCATCTGATCTGATCTGTGGCTGAACCTGAGCTTATACTTGATTTAAAAAATCCATTATTTATTTATTAAAAAATTGTTTACAGAAGACTTTGACTTTAAAGAATTACAAAAAAAAATTGATATTACTGGCGATTGAAAAGTAGCCTAATAAAACATACTTTATTTTTTCTGTCCTTTTTATTTTAAAAATATAATATGGTTTTAAATCTTTATTTCAACAACATTTTATTTTAAAGTTAATTTAAATCCGATTTTCCTGTATTTCCAATGTTTTCCTTAGTTTTTGGAGCTCACGTTCGATTACCCATTATGAGTAACCATTCATTTGAACATGTTAACCGTGGATAATGTGGATCCCCAGCTGTAGGACTTGGTAAAAACGCTGAAACAAAGGCAAAAAAGAAATACATGTATTTTGGCGAATGGAGAGTGGATAGTCTGGACTGGATCGAGTGTCTACCAACCAGTTTGGTCAGGCTGAGGCCAAGTTCGTGCCCGTGATGCAATTGCTAACACCAAATTCGACTTGCACAGTTCCCTGTTCAGCCTAACCAGTTGCTGGCCAACTTACTTTTCGCGCAGGTACTGCAGCACTTCCTGTTCGTGGGAAGTGAGTCCATCGAAGACCGCATCCAAGTTGATCCGCAGCAGCTTTCGGTTGGGGATGCCGATGAGGAAGGTGGCTGCCCCATCAAGCTGCATTGTGTAGTACATGGCCAGTTTGCCCAACTCCACATTTCGCTGCCTACAGATTTCGGCTCCCCGTTTGCCCACTTCCAGGAGTTCCGGACTACCCGGATGCCAGGACTGGGGACCGGCGTTGCTCAGGAGTCCCAGCGAGTGGGCGGCGGCACAGACAATGCCCACGCCCAGCTCCTGGAAGGCCTTCATGTGCCGCAGGAGCGTATTGTCCAGCAGTGTGTAGCGGGCATAGTTGAGCACCACTTGGATTCGACCCTTGCCCCGTTCGGCGCACTCCTTCAGCACATCCACATCGTAGGCCGTGATGCCGATGAACCGTGCCTTGCCCGCCCGCACGTACTCCTCCAGGACAGGAATGGTTTCATTCAGCACCATGTCCAGACTGGGTGCGGCGTCCACGTCGTGAACCTAGTCAAGACCATCAGATTAAATAAACAATTTACAAACAAAGTAACTAACGAAACCTACCTGCAGTATATCCACTCGATCCAATCCGAGGAGTTCCAGACTACGCTTGACACTCGCCCTGGCTTTGGCACCCGTATAATCGAACATCTTCGCCGGATCCATCTCGTATCGCGCCACTTTGGTGGCTATATAGTACGCCTCCCGGGGAACATCCTTCAGTGCCTGGCCGAGCAGCTCCTCCGATTTGCCGTAGAAGGGGGCGGTGTCTATATAGTTAATGCCCGACTTAATGGCCTCATGCACCGTGCGGATTCCCTCCTGCCGATCGAAGTCGTCGGAGAAGAGATTGGAGAGAGTGGCACCGCCAAGGGCGATTTTGGACACTCGCAGACCCGTGGAGCCTAGCTGCCGGTACTCCATGCGACGCACCTGCTCCTCATCATGGAAGCCCTTGACAAAGGTGGCTGGCAGTGATCCCGACATCTTCTACTATTCAATTAACAAGCTCAAATAGACGAAACGCAAAGCAGTACTGCGCTTTTATATGCTCTGAGCTCCGAATTTTCTGTTATAGATAAGAACTGTGGGGTTCCTAAATAGATTCGAATCTCTTAACAAGCTTCTCTTCCTGATAAGCTTTGGAAGAGAATACCTCTCTTTGTTTTCCACCCGGTACTTGTGAAGTCCATAGTATAGATGTGTATGTATGTACTTTGTATATACTTATAAAAGTTGTACATTTAAGGTGATATACATAATCTTTAATACCTGCTGTATTAGGAACTTTAAGAGAAATGTTGGACACACCCTTCTTTCGCCCTACAGAATATTATAGGAGTAACAGTTTAAAATATTGGGGGATACAGAAGTACTGCAGTTGTCAAGACCATTTCTAGAAGGTTGCATTCAATTCAACGTTTTTCAGGTATGCAACATTAATGTAGTAAGTACTGCATATCCTATAGTCATATATTTTGTATTACTATTTATTTTATTTATCAGAGAAGATTCTGAGCTTGTTTGTGGCTTCCAATCAATTGACAAATCATTAAGAGTTAATATAAATATGTGCTTTATAATTCATATGCATGAGATAGGGACGTGCACCGCTCAGAAGAAGACGTCGAAGTCGCCCTGGGGCTGATAGCCAGCTCCGGGGGGGATCAGCTGGGGTCGCTGCTGCTGGCGCTGGGGGCGGGGCACGATGATGTCGTTGATCTCGTGCAGAATGCCGTTGGTGGCCACCACATCGCACTTGGTGACCCCGGCGTTCTCGATCTTGGGACGGCGGTCGCGGGTGATGCGCAGATGCTGGCCGGAGATGGACTCGATGGAGCGGACAAATGGCCAGTTGGTGGGGATAATGCCGGCGCAGCAGACAACGTCCTCCACGATGTGGGTCTTGACCAGTGCCATGGGATCGGAGGGTTTCGATCCCTCGCCGGACTCGGTCAGCTCCTCGAAGACATCGTTCTTGGGCACCAGCAGAGTGAGACTCCTCGAATTGTTGGACAGAAGCTGGGTGAGATTAGCCTTCCGCACCAGCTCCAGGAACTTGCTGTAGTTGGGATTAGCCTCCAGCAGCTTGAGCATGTTCTGAGGAATATTTAACCAAATTATATATAAATCTGATGAGTAAAATCAAATTAAAACTTACATTCTTGGGTGGCGCCAAGGCACGATCCACCTGATGGAGGACGGAGCCGCAGCTCTCGTCATCGAAGTGCACCAGGCGGGCGCAGTTGACCGTGGCGCGGTTCATCACATCCGAGAAGAGGGCATGTGTGGAGTAGAGGTTCAGACGTACACTGGATCCGGACACGGTGGGCAACGCTTTCTCCGAGAGGTCACAGGTCTTAATCATGGGTTTGACCACATGGTAGTTAAGGAACTCCAGCAGATCCAAATTGTGATCCAGCAGTTCCGGCTGCTCCTTGAGCATGCGAGCCCACTCCGTGTTCTGCAGCGCCTTGTCAGTGGGGGCGAAAATGGTCACGTTGTCCAAATCGTCGAACTGATTATCGAAACCAGAGGCCTCCAGCAGGCGCTGGAAGATGGTCAGGTTCTTCTGGGACATCAGAGAGGTCATGGGCAGCGCCGATTCCGTGGGCAGGATGGTGTCGATCACGTGCAGGACACCATTGGTGCCCATGATGTCGGCTTCTATGATTTTGGCCAGATTGTTGATGTAGATCGGAGCGGGTCCAGTCTGATTTGCAGGGAGCTGGGTGCGGTTGAGAAGCAGGGGCTCTCCCAGAAGATTGTAGGCGGTCGTCTTGGCTCCCGGAACAGTGGCCAACGAGCAGAAGGTGAGGTCCAGTAAATGGTTCTTCAGGATGTCTATGTTTTGAGGAAGCAATATTTTATTTTTAACATTTAATTATGAATCTCTTTCCTTCCGAAACTCACTTGAGGCACATCCCCGACCCTCCTTGAGAGCACGACGCAGGTGCGGTTCCAACTTGTCGAAGGCGGCATCGGTGGGCACGAAGATCGTCACCGGCTTGTCGTCCTCCAGCATGGCACTCAGATTGGTCTTCTCCAGGACGGTGCGCATGATGGACATATCGGCCCGCTCCCTGATGATGTCCATCACGTTTTTGGTCAGCGGCTTGAGCACTCCACCCAAAGTGTGGACGAGGGCCTGCTCCGAGAGCTTGTCGTGCTTCTCGATGGGCACACAGTTGGCGGCATAGCGGTAGGGTTCCAGGCCCAAAGCCGCCGGCAGCTGGTAGCTGTTGATGCGAATCCTCTGGTCGGGCAGCTCGGTCTGCAGGAGCTTTTCGTTGGGCACATCCTCCAGCTGCACTTCGCCGAGAACAGCGTGCAGTTTGTAGATAAAAGGTTTGGAAGCTTCGGTCTTGGCATCTTCGACATTCTGTTATAAATATAATTATGGATTTGAATTAAAATCTTTAAAACTGAACTCTTATAAAAAGTATAGCTGGTTATTTAAATGAATTGTCTCCATCTTTTAAAATCAGTAAATTTTTTCTCAAAATATGTTGCTAAGGGTTTGAACAAAAATATTTATAGGTTTCTATAAGAAAACGATCTAGACATATTCAAATGTAACAGGTTTATTTAAAAAGTACCTATTTTTATACCCTTGCAGAGGGTATTATAATTTTGGTCAAAAGTGTGCAACGCAGTGAAGGAGACATCTCCGACCCTATAAAGTATATATATTCTTGATCAGGATCACCTCCTGAGTTGATATATCCATGTCCGTCTGTCCGTCTGTCTGTTTCTACGCAAACTAGTCTCTCAGTTTTAAAGCTATCGAGTTGAAACTTTGCACACAGCCTTCTTTCCTTTGCACGCAGTATATAAGTCGGAACGGCCGGGATCGGCCGACTATAGCCTATAGCTGCCATATAACTGATTGATCGGAAATGCCATAACTTTGGTGTTTGTAAAGTTAGGAAGTTGGAATTTTCTATGGGCTTTATAGTTGGCCAATCAATCCGACCTACCAAATTTCATAAGGATCGGCCGACTATATCCTATAGCCGCCATATAACTGATTGATCTAAAATGCCATAACTTTGGTGTTTGTTAAGTTAGGAAGTTGGGATTTTCTATCGGTTTTATATTTGGTCAATCAATCCGACCTACCAAATTTCATAAGGATCGGCCGACTATATCCTATAGCCGCCATATAACTGATTGATCTAAAATGCCATAACTTTGGTGTTTGTTAAGTTAGGAAGTTGGGATTTTCTATGGGTTTTATTTTTGGCCAATCAATCCGACCTACCAAAGTTCATAAGGATCGGCCGACTATATCTTATAGCTGCCATATAACTGAACGATTGGAAATGCCATAACTTTGGTGTTTTTAAAGTTAGGAAGTTGGGATTTTTATGAGTATCAAGAATGCATCATATGAATAATTTTGGAGAATATAATTCACAGAGTATTCTGCAAGGGTATATCAACTTCGGCTCCGCCCGAAGTTAGCTTGCCTTTCTTGTTTAAAATGAATGAGAAGGTTTTCCTTTGATTTACATTAGGAGTTTAATGCATCCTCTGCTAAAGTTTAGCCATTTAATCGGAGTGCCATATACTATAGCTTATAATAACCATGGTTCTTGGAGATAACAGAATTCATCTTTAAAGAGTGTCTCTACTTGATATTAATAATTTGGTATTATGCATTACAGTTTCGTCCAAATTTAATGCCTACAATTGACTAACCAACTTTGTTATTACTGAAGGACTACTCACGTTCTCCTGCTGGTGGTGTGTGCGGTACTCCAAGAAGGCCGCGTCGTTGGGCACGAAGAGGGTTACTTTCTTGCCACTGCCTCCGCCCAGCATCTCTGCCAGCTCGCCGGCAGTGCGGGCGCTCTCGAGGAACTGCTTGGCACCCATGTCACTGGCCGTGGCCTCCACGTCCTTGATGTCGATCTTCTCGCAGGGCGTTGCGAAGTCGGCGTTCCTGGGACGGCCATATCCATAGCAGCACTGTCGGGTCAGCGTCAGCGTTTTCTTCTTGCCGTTTTGATTAACGCTGCAGGTGGAAATATTCAATCAATATTCAATATTAGGTAATTCCCCCGTAATCCTCTTACATCTTGGTGCAGACGTGCTTGTTGGGCTTCTCCGCGCAGGAGTTCACGCTGAACTGGAACTGGCCAAACAGTGGGGATCGCACCACATCGGTAACTCCATCACGTTCCTGGCCAAAGGTGCCCACTGTTTCTTCAACATCCGTCTCAGGGGCCACGGTCTCGTCTTCCTCCTTTTCGGTGCACACATTGGGGCTGAAAAAAGCGGAAAATTAGATATTGGCTCATATTTTGTAGTTGTAATCTTGGGGATGTGGTGCAGATCACTGGTTCATGGCTTCAAACTTATGCCATAATTCACTCGTTTTTTAAACCAGATACGTTAAAGTTGATCATTAAATTAATTAAACACATTTAATAATCTTTCGAAAAGGGTTTGAAAAGGTTTATATTACTTGGTAGATCTGGAAACGTGGCCTATTTTTCTTTTGGAATTAATTCATAGGTAAATGTTATGTTTGTATTTAAGTACTAATATTTCTAATGCTAATTTTTCTAGAAACTCTGCTAATGACTTAGTCATATATCAGACGTGCCAATCGAAATGTCAATGTACTATATTCCTACAATTCTGCCGCAACCCTTCATAGGCACATCTACTTTTATACCCATATCTCCGAAATCAATCAAACTTAGTCCACGGGATATGCATATGTATCAGTCGGTCGTCAGCACTCGTTAACTGAGTGTTTGCCAAACGGATTTGCACAATGATCCCTCATAGTGAGCATAGTCATACTATATAAACGTACTTCTATATAAAAGCGATCGTGTGTTGGCTTAACAGCTTTGCCAGTCCATCAATTCAATTATGGCAACGATGAGACTTTTATTTTGGTTTCTGAATGCGAACTCATTGTGCGCGTAATTTTTAGAAATTTGCCACTGAACCATAGATGTACATATATATAGGTTTTTATGCCGCTAATTTTTCAATTTGC